TGAAGCAGATTGAATGAAAGATAATTTTAAATTTTTACAACCAAGTTCACTTGGTAATGAATCTTCATTTTGCACATCATGTTCAATCAACTTTTTGGTTTCTTCTGGTGGTCTGTACGACATTTGAAAGCATGCTTAGTGTGAGACTTACAACAAAATCCAAAATACGGAATGTTATGAATATTGAGACTCAGCATGCTCAGAGGAATTGAAAAGGCAAAAAAAAAAAAAAAACCTTGTATAGATTATTACAGTGAATTGAAGAAATAAAGTATATTTATTAACTCTTGTTGGTGTTTTGTAGATGAATAAGTAAACAAGTCATATATTTAACTTGAAGATGTTGTTCACGCAAAATCTTCCCCTCAGCTGTCATACATATGTAGCTGTGGGGGAGATCTCTCTCTTTGAAGGTTTCAGAGGTTGGCAGGTATGTCCTTACATCTCACTTTCTGCGACTTTCATTACAGGCAAGACAAAACCCAGATACCAGACATATACAAAGTGGAAATTTTAACTTATTACTTCATACATGTACATTCATGTATAGTTTTCCTGTTATGAGTAATGGAAAGAAATAATGCGTAATTAAGTACCTATAAAATAATTAATTGACTGAAATTGTGGGCTGTTTCAGAAGAGCGACAGTAGGAAATCAATTAGAATAAAGGTTTTCTTGTAACATACACTTAAAATGTGTGCGCATGTGCTAGGAAATGGACGTCTAAATTGCAGCTCTCAAAAATATTTGGAACTTACAGCTTTTTCTAGAGTAATAAATCCCGGAACTTGCTATTACATCAATATTTGGCTTACATTTGTCATTGTGTGTATGAAATTATCAAAAAGTTTGATATTTCCTTGTAAATTAAAATATTTGTATACGTAAATTTTTGATTCACATTTGTACAGTGGCGGGAAAATTATTTTCCTTATATGTAAACAGTGTAAACCACTTCCGGTTTACTTTTTTGTTTATTTTTGTTTTGATCGTCAAACAGAGTCTCTGTGATTAAATAGGTAATAATATCCTATCTATCAATCCTTACACCTTATATAATATGGCTTCCTAGTGTGTTTATCCTGTGTCCTTGAGTCGCCCAAGGAACGAAGATCTAATTTGTCATCAACTACTAACTGTCTTATTAAACATGTTATGAATGTGTATGAGAGTCACCATCCTTCTCTTCACTGATTATATTTTTGTGACACTTAGACTCTGTCAAAATGTTTAAACATAGCTTAGTCGTGATTTGCTCAACATTTTTTATTTTTCTGAGCACAGTCAATGAGTTTAATATACAAAATAATATACTAGAATCCAACAAATATGAGGGTATCACTATCAGCCTTCAATGTGACACAACAATTGAGGTATCTACCCAGATTTATTACTGGCACTTGCATGTGTCCAATTTTAAAAATAGATGTGTTTTTGGCAAATCAGATCGCCACATTCATCTTTTGATTAGAATTCTTTTAAGCAACCAGGTTGAAACCAACCCTGGCCCATCAAACTTGAACGACTCCAGTTATCCATGCTCTATTTGCTCGCATGAGTGTACCTGGGACAGTGATGCTATTGTTTGTGATAACTGCGATAAATGGTGTCATATTGGATGTGTAAATATAAGTCCATCTATGTATGAAAAGTTTGGAAATTCATCAGCACTTTGGATATGCCCGATATGTGATACTCCTAATCACTCTAGAACCATTTTTCAATCATACCTCTCATCAGGTAATTCTATTTTGAACCCTAACTCATATTCAGTACTTTCTGATAGTTCAGCTTTTTCCTTAAGCTTCAATATAAATGATAATCATGAAAATTTTGGAGACCCAGTTGCTACATCATCACCAAAACCACCAGTAACGAAGCAATCAAAAAATAAGAATATTAATAGACAAAACTCATTAAGACATGTAAGAGTTCTTCAGATCAATTTTAGAAGTTGTAAAAATAAAGTTCCTCAAATTGAAAATTTATTAACGTCATCTAAACCAGATATTATTATTGGTAATGAAACTTGGCTAAACAAAGATGTATTATCTTCTGAAATTTTTCCAAACACACTATTTGAAGATGTATTCCGAAACGACCGGGTCGGAAAAGAAGGTGGAGGTGTATTAATCGCCATTAAAAAAGGTATTATTTGCCAAGAAGTATATAAAAGCAAAAATGTAGAACTTATTGCTGCCCAAATTAATATAACTGATACTAAATCCTTAGTTATTATTTCTGCATATAGACCACCAAATAAAAATGATATAGACTATCTCAAACAAATGATCATTGAAATTAATGAACTTAAATTAAAATTTAAAAATTCCACCTTCTGGCTTGGTGGTGACTTTAACCTTCCAGACATAAAATGGCCGGAGCAAAATATACCTGGCTCATTGTATACTAAGGAGCTGAATGAAGCATTTATAGATATGCTGAACAACTTAGGCATTGAACAAATGGTTGATTTTCCAACTAGGAAAGATAATATCCTTGACCTTTTCTGCACAAACCAACCTGCATTGATAACAAAAATAAAATCCATACCAGGTATATCTGACCATGATATTGTATTAGTGGATGCAATCTGCAAGCCCCAAAGATCTAAACAATCACAACATAAAATTTATTTATGGAAAAAGGTTGATATTAAAAAGATAAAAGACATAACATCTCATTTTATATCTGAACTTATATCTCAGGCTAATGAAAATTTAAATATTGACCAATTATGGAATAAATTCAAAGAAGGTAGTAATAAAATAATAGATGATAATGTACCAAGCAAAATAACTAAATCTAAGTACACCAACCCTTGGGCAAATAGGGATATAGACCATTTATGTAAAAAACAACGTAAAGCTTACAACAAAGCTAAAAAAACTGGTAAACAAGAACATAAAGATAAATATAAAAAGTTAAAAGCTACTGCTCAAAGAGAAATAAGAAGAGCCCAGAGCATGTACATGCAAGAAATAATTAGCCCCCAGTTAGAAGAAAAACCTAAATCTTTCTGGCAATTTATAAAAAGTAAAAAAACAGAAACATCTTCACCATTAAGAGGAAAGGATGGCTTATTATATAATGAGCCGAATACACAAGCTAACATCATGAACATCCTAAATGAACAATTTAAAAAGGCTTTTACTACCGAAGATACATCCTCTATGCCAAATAAAGGTACAAGTCCCCACCCCACTATGCCAGACATATTTATTAGTAATAATGGCTTATTAAAGTTACTTAAAAACTTAAATCCACTGGCCCTGATAATCTGCCAGCATATTTTTTACATAATTTTGCAGAAGAATTGTCTCCATTTTTGACATTCTTTTTCCAAAAATCTATTGATACTGGTAAAATCCCAACTGATTGGAAGCAGGCTAATGTTGTACCAATATTTAAAAAAGGTGACAAGCATAACGCTATTAATTATAGACCAGTTTCACTAACTGCAATATGTTGCAAAATTCTAGAACACATTATAACAAGCAACATAAGGAAACATCTTACAATTAATAACATATTAAATGATAGTCAACATGGGTTTAGAAGTAAAAGGTCTTGTGAGACCCAACTTATCATCAGTTTACAAGATCTTGCAAAATCATTGGGATATGGTAACCAAATAGATGTTATACTTTTAGATTTTTCCAAAGCTTTCGATAAAGTCCCCCATCAAAGATTAGCCCAGAAATTAAACTTTTATGGTATTAGGAATCAAAATTTAAATTGGATAAATGACTTTTTAGCCGACAGGCAACAGCAGGTACTATTAAATGGTGTTAAATCTTCAAAATTAGCTGTTGATTCTGGTGTCCCTCAGGGAACAGTTTTAGGCCCAACATTATTTTTACTCTTTATTAATGACCTACCCGAACATGTAACTTGCAATGCAAGACTTTTTGCAGATGACTGTTTATTGTATAGAAATGTTAATAATAGTTCTGATGCCAAATTACTTCAAAAAGATTTATCTAGTTTAGTACAATGGGAAGAGGACTGGCAAATGAATTTTAATCCTGAGAAGTGTTATGTTATTCATATTTCTAAAAAAAGCAAACCTTCCACTTTTGATTATATATTGCACAATCATGTTTTAGAAGCAGTAAAAGATAGTAAATATTTAGGCGTAACTATAAGCCATGATCTTGATTGGGGAACACATATAAACAATATTACCTGTAAGGCAAATAAAACCTTAAGTTTTCTTTGTAGGAACTTAAAAAACTGCACACGTAAGGTTAAAAACCTTACGTACACATCACTTGTCCGTCCAGTCGTCGAATACTCTTCCCCTGTATGGGATCCGTACAAAAAGCAACACATCACTCAGGTTGAGCAGGTACAGCGTAAGGCAGCCAGGTTTGTCTTCAATGATTATAAAGACAGATCACCTGGAGCAGTTTCAAATTTAATTAAATCATTGGAATGGGAAAATTTAGAAATAAGAAGGAAAAAAGCTAGATTAACTATGCTATATAAAATAAATTGGGGGTTAGTGAAAGTTCCTAAGGACAATTTAACAATATCTGATAGACGTACTAGGGGGAAACATAAATTTAGGCAAATATCAACAAATAAAGATTTCTATAAATTTTCTTTTTATCCTCGCACTATTTCGGACTGGAACTCACTACCTGAAGCAATAGGTATGTCTGACACCCTGGAATCCTTCAAAAGTGGCATATCCACTCTAACATTTGAAGGAGCCACAACAACTTATTAAACTACAAAGCCACTGTACATAATGTATATATGTTATTGTTAATGATTTTTCTTTGTCATATTATTTTTAAATTAAGTCCATATGTACATAGCACACAAGTTCCGGGAAGTTTTACACTCCTACCTAGGAGTCTACTCCCGTATTCGGAAGAAGAAGAAGAAATTGAGAATGGAAATGCATGTTTTAACAAAGTCGTTTCAAATGTAAACAACGAAAGATTCATGAAAAACTACGAAATTTGTAGCAAGAAAGCCATATAATTACCGATGAACTGTTTATCGTTGATAGATGTAGAACAAAATCACATTAGAATGTAAAGAAGTAGTTCATTTTGCCTGATTTATGACATTTTTTGCTGTTTAAAACACTAGCCTGGAAATGTCTTGGTCAATAAAATAGAAGTACGACTATCGTAAATTCCGAGTTTTAATTGCCAATCATAAAATTTATGAAATACTTATTAATTGTATTTGATAAATGAATAACAATTAGTTAACGATTAAATTTATCTCTTTCGATTATATATTTTGATTAAAAATTATTTTGTTTACGACAACAATCGTAAATCGATTTTAAATCGACGTATAAGTAATGCTTTAAAATGTCTCAATAACTGATCGTAGTCGAAAGCGTTTAACAGATTTTTGTATGTTTTATTTTGGGCAAGCAAAAACATTCAGCGGGAAATGCCTGAAATAAATTAATGAACGAAAATGACAGAATTAGAAGGATCGGAATCCCGGGAAAAGCCCTTAGACGTTCCTGAGGCTCTATTTAAGGATGTGAAATACTATGTTGTTGGCGATATTGCAAAAGAGGTCCAAACATATATTCAATAATCAACAATTTTACCTACTTTTCTACTTTTACTTTTAGTGGCTAATAATTTCTCTTTGCCTGCATTTCAACTGAAATATATGGATTTTATATTCATTCTACTATATTTTTAAAATGACTATTGCACACATTTTCAAGGTTTAGAATAGAACACAGGTGCTATTTACAAATGAATATTATTTTTATGAAAAGCAACATGTATGTAAATTATTTGATTGAAGCAGGTTCTACCTTAGTCCAAATAATAATCACGCCTTGCAAGGCTATTTTTAATTTTTTTCTGTGATGCCTTCGGAGTTCCTACGACGTCATAATGCTGAAGCTATTTTTTACGTCTGGACTTTGAGAATTTTGGGGGGAACTTTGAGACCCAATTTTGGCATGAAATCTTCATACACCTTATCGCTGTTTGTCCGCCATTACTGGACATCACACAAGTTCCCGGAAAAGTGATTGTTGTATGACGTCAAAAGTTCGAGCGGGACAGATTCTCGGGTCAAGCGGTAATAGCGATAAGGTGTATTGCTGGCTAGAAATGTTTGCATAGTTACAAAGTTTAACCGTTTTTGTGCTTATTGATGCACGATATCTCCAGAAATATCCAAAAGTATGATAAATTAAGATACGATTCCATTTGAGGTGAGAAAATATTTACCTTAATTTCAAAATGGTTTCCCAGAATTTCCAAAATACGTCACATCCGGAGAGTATAAAATATCAAAATCGGTAAAATTTGATGGACCCGAATTTCTGGAACGTTTGATTTGTATTATCCGGAAATTAGCGTCTGCCGATATTTTGTATCAATAAGCACAAAAAAGGTAAGACTTTGTAACTATGCAAAAATTTCTAGCCGGCAATGAAGATTTCATGCCAAAATTGGGTCTCAAAGTTCCCCCAAAAATTCTCTCTTAAAGTCGACGTCAAAAATGGCTTCAGCGTTATGACGTCGTAGGAAGGTGTCACACAAAAAAATTAAAAATAGCCTTGCAAGACGACATAATTATTAGGACTAGTTCTACCTGATCATGCCTGTGAGCTCCAATAGGTAATTGATGGACGTTTGTTGAATTTACCATCATCAGTTCGTTAATTAGATAACAAATTTGCAGGGGAAATTGTATATTCCTCAGATACAAATTTGTTCGAAATCATATGCTCCTTTATGACGTGTATGATGTGTTACCAAAAATCCCAAGAAGGAGTATTGTCACCATATCAGGCAGCCCTCAACGTAGGTTTAAATACCAGGTAGCCTTTTGGCCAACAGATATAAAATTTCAATAGCCAATTCAAAATTTTAGTGGCCAGAAAATAATTACAGGTCACCTAAGACAGTCTGCGACGTTAAGTGGTAGCCCGAAGCCCCTGACTAGTAAAAATCTCATCGGACTTGTGCAGAAGCACTGGTGATTGCCCGACCGGTCTAGTGAACATCTGAAATCGTTTGCGAAATTGTAGCCGTTATTTTATTGAATCTATGAGAACAAGTTATAAATTGTTTTCATCCGTTAACTGGTAACCCTATTCAATTATATACGGTTGATCACCCTTCTAATAAAAGGAAACCAGTCATCAACGCGATATAACTAAAGACCAACGAAATCGAAAACGAGGCTCAACCACGTGCTTGCAATAAACACGATCTATAAATACCGCTCAATGTAAACAAACAATCAAGAATTCGATCTCATTCGATACTGAAATGGAAACCGGGGTCTATCCCAGGTAAAACATTGAAAAGTTGAAAATTCCAACATGAATAACCGGAAAAGTTTCGAGTTGCAAAAGCCTATGCAGAAAACGATCTAGGCATTTTATTATTTTTTTAAAAACAAAATTAACGAAAGTGACAATATAGAGGGTATTGATAGTTTTTTTTTAGGATAAAGAATAATGGGCAATAAAACATAAAGAATATTTGTTTACAGAAAAATTGCCTAAAAAATAAAGAATTGAGAAAAATGAGGTTTTAAAATAGCATAACAAAATAAATAATAAAGAAATGAAGGCCCCTTCCAGATCCAAAAGAAGTGCCAGACTTGACTGACTTACTTTTCCCCCTAAAAAGTAACAATCCCTAAGTTGAGTAATAATTTACTAGGGCTTATTTTACTTGAAATGATACAATTTTATGGAAAAGAATTTTTTTTTTTTTGGCAAAAGAACTATTATAATTTTTTATTGGAGAAAATAAGAATTTTTCATTTGATCTGGAGAAAAAAACAAAATTTTTTGATTAGCTATATTCACTTTCAGATACAAAAATGTAACCTCAGAATGCAGGATTTTACATCTAATCTTCCTAAATTTTCTTGGGGGGGGGCATGCCCCCAAAATTTAAACCCTCCTAGGAGGTTCGGATCACTTCGTGATACTCACCAGTGACACAAAATTTTTCAGGTCTAGTATACATCAATTCGGGCTAGGTAATTTTTTAATCAACTATGGGCTACTGCTAAGAAATAAATTTGTTATAAAAGTCTAGTCAGTAGAGCTAATGAAGACTAGTAAAAAAAACATATCAATAAATTTTGTAATATTTTTCTTATTCGCTTAATCAATACATTAGAAGATGTACTTGGCTCTTCAGAAGCCGGAGTTTCTATGGAGGAACTCTCCGCCCCTTCTTTTTGTTTCTTACCTGGTGAAACATCGTTGTTTTGGGTAGTTGTTTTGAAAAATCTGGACAGCAAAATCTGTTTGGCTGCCATGATGTATTGGCACCGAAAACACTTCATCAGACGCTTGAATTCCCAGTTAAGTTAAGCGCTTTGTAGACCCTGTTAAACATGGTTAAGATTAAAAATGTGTGAAATCATATTCAAGATTTAGCATACATTCGAGCGCTCGTACATGTATGACTGTGAATAAAAATATGACCAGAGGCAGGTTGATTATCTGGAATTTTACAGTCGCCAGGTCCAAATAGTACCAGTCGCCAAATGGAAACCAACAATGAAATTAAGGTCACCAGGAGGCTTTATAGGTCGCCCAGACGACTGTTTTAATAGCCTAAATTGAGGGCTGTCAGGGATCAGGCGACTTGGGCAAGGAAGTCACTTTCCTGTCCATCAATTTGCCTTGCCGACTGTCCAAAGCGATATGTTGTGCCCGTGTGTTCACCAAAGTCGCTTTTTCATTGCCTATGTTTACTAAGTCGAAACAAACTTTTAATTATGACATTAAACAGTATTAAAAATCCCTAATACTTAAAAACCATTTGTAGTTTTGAAAAGAGGGCTTGACAATGAATTCCTCTTTAATATGAGGCAGGTGTAACTGTGTTACCTGTGAAAGAGGACAAAGTCCATATTAATTGTTCTTTTTATATTAGACATTTTTGCAAAATTAAAACTATATTGAAAAACAAAATATATAATCCCAAAATAACCATGATACATGTAACTGCTGTTGAAAAAATAACTGAAATACGAAAATGTATCCAATTTTTGTTCTGTTGATAGGAATTTTATTTATGACGTTACTTTTAATGTAAACAAAGAAATGCAGTCTGCTTCAGTTAACATCTTTTTTTTTCATAATAAAGTATCATTTAATTGATTTTAAGTATGATAATTTATACCTTAAAAGACGAAAAAATTGGCTTATCATTATTTTACATGCAATAGAATCAGATTAGCAGTCATGGGACTTACTTAAATGAGTGATTTTCTAAATCACTGATTCAAGTAACATTATGTCCTTAAAGGTTGGAAGTAAGAGTTGTCTTTCTTTAATAATCACCTATTTAAGTAGTACAAATTAATCACTAGACTAAGTGATTTAATTTTATTGTAGCTTTAAATATAGAATACTAATGATCCAGGGACTAATTATGTTGCTGAAATTATCAGAACCAACATCTGTGTTGATAGGATGATTGGGTCATGTAAGGTGATGACCTTGTACTAAATCTAGGATAATGACATAAAAATCACTTGTTTAAGTATCATACCTCAATTTCCTTCCAAAAAATCACTTCTTTAAGTATAAATATTTTAATAACCCCCATTAATTTCAACACCCCTGAACAGTGAAATTTTGATCGCGATCAGTATTTATTACATTATCTATAAGATGAAACCTTGAATTTTACAGGAAAAATACTCCCACTGCTGGGAAAAATCTGTTAAGAAAGTATCAGTTCATTATGTAAAGCCATTTTTATAGCATTTTTTCAAGTAAAATAGAATTTTCAGCTAAATGATTGCATCAAAGGCATAAACCTTGCTGCTTTAAAGAAGCAAAACGTTCATTTCTGTTCAATTTTACTAATGAACAGATATTATCTAATCCTATGTGTTTAAAATTTCGGTAAAACTACAAAATCACAATTTGTGACAAACTTCGAATTTGCTACTTAAATAAGTGATTTAAAAATCACTTACTTCAATAAGTCCCCTGATCGATTAGGATACAAATCTGCCTGAAAAGGTAAGATTTCCAAACTCATTTTGTTTGCTATTGATTACTTCAAAATCGTTAAATAAGCACTATATTCATTTTATTACGTAGACAAACAGACTGAATTCAAAATATTTGTCCTCATTTTACAGTCAAGGGTGTAACTTAGATAAGTTGTTAGAGAAAAATAACATACATGTTGTTATTACAGATACTTTCATGAGTTGTCTACTCTTTTTTTCTTAATCTGTAGTAACATATGTTTGTTATTAGTTAAATATATCATAAATATCTTTATTTTTAGTGGGCACTTGGGAATTCTTGAAACTTTGCGCAGAAACGTAATGCATAACCTTGATAACTAATTTTCCAATTCAATTAATACATTTTTGATCAACCATGGTAAATCAATGAGACAAGGCATTTAAGGGATAAACTAAGCTGTAATAGCAAGGCTTAGTTATTACAGGAATGTAACTTATGAAATGAGACACTTGGGAACCACTTGGAATCTTGCGTAGAACCTCATTGCATGCTCTGATCATTATTTCTTACAATAAATTAAAATACATTGTGATATACAATGTATGTCTGAGCAAAGGCTTTGAAGAGATGAAGAGAAGCTGTAATAACACCCTTTAGTTATTACAGGCATACATGTATATTTTCTGTAATAACATAGGTGTACTATGCATGATTGGCAAACTATGAACTGTTATATCTATCTAAAGTTTAGTATACATAAAGACAATAATAATATCAATAGAACGTGTATACAATTTAACAAAGTAAAGGATGTATATTGCCCCTTTGAAACATGTAACATATATATACATCATGTACATATGTTATCACAGTTTTTTGATTTTTTAGTCCACAAAAACAAATGCATGTTATGTTTCTCTAATAACTTATTTAAGTTACACCCTTGACAGTTTTAATGCCATTATTCTTTTTGGTAATCAAATATACAAATTTGCTGGAAATGGTATGACTTGCAACATCATGAACATGTCAACAGAACAGGAACAGGGTAATACGCAAGCGCAACTGTTAGAAAAAATGTTTAACGATTTTGAGTTCATTAGTGTTTTGATTTTTTGTTTTATTGATTTTCTTACTGTTATTTGGGACTTTGTCCCCATATCATCCAATGTTTACAAATTTCCATTGAACTTGTGGAAATTATGGAACCACAAATTCAAAAGTTCTAAAAAGTGCAAATTTGGTATCTGCATTAATCATGCTGAAAAAGGAATGTAGCTCTGTGTTGAATTAATACCTACTTCCCTTTACAATATTAATGATCATAAAAAAAGTCAATACTTCCATTTGTTTGTTTAAGGTGTGTACAAAATATAAATTGATTAGTATTTTATTTATAGGTTTTGGAACTCCTGAATGCTGGTGGAGCAAAACAAGACACCTATCTGAGTGAGATGGTCAGTCATGTGATTTCTGATGACCCATCACAAGATGAATATTCAGAAGCCAAGGAATTATTTGATCTACCTGTGGTCAGGGTAAATATACATGTAATACATACATGGCATATAAATGAATATATTTTTACAGTCAAGTTATTCTTTAAAAAACTGTGGGCAACTGAATTTCAAGTTTTAATTTATCAATTACTAACATGTACGCTTTATATTCATCGACCATGCTATCTACTATTTAGTTGTTTATTTGCCAATAACTGATTTGATTCTGATATTACACATTTATAACATTGGTAGTTTCATGTTGCCAAATATAGACTAGTCTAGTATACCGCACAAAATGACAAAATGGGCTGTTGCATGATATATTGTAAGTGATATATACATGTATATGTTTAAACAAAGTCAAAAAAATCAAGTGCATATCATGCATATCAAAACAATTTGTTAAAAAAAACCCAATTTTCATGGAAAAGTAAGACTGCAGTGGCCTGTATGATGAAAAATCATTTCACATTTCTTGAGCTAATAAGTAAAACATACATTTGTCTTATCTTACAAACTGACATCTGTAACTAGGAGATAACAAATATTGGTGTCCAACAGTGACTGATGAATTCACAGTATTGTGAATCTTTTTCTTTGTTTTTTTTTTCAGTCCAGCTGGGTTTACCTGTCCATAAAATGCAAGAAACAGCTACCGTATCCTTTGCAATGATAACATTTTACAGATAAATATACATTTATATACATGATATACATGATATAGGAGGGAAACCAAGGCTTGCTGAGCTTTTATCAGTATTTTCAGGAGCACTAATCAGTAATAAATGTTTTATTTTTGGTGAGTGCATTTACTATTTGAATCCTGCATACATGGCATAAGGCAAACAAAATATACTTTTTTTTCATCTGAACAAAATTTTACTTTGAATTCTATCTGGATTTGTCATTTCACATGGAGGATGAATCTTTCACAATTTTCAATCTGCATGATCTGATGGCAGCAGTTTTGTTCAATTTTGTGATAAATGGGTCAGCATAGAAATGATTTATAGTCAAACTTTAGTGCTCAAAACTTTTTTCTATATCTTTATTTGGCAAGCTAAGGCAACAAAATGTCACAAGGTCAAGCAAATTTTGTACACAAATTCACAAATTAAACTATGAAGAGACTGCAATAATTTGTTCACAAAGAACCCCATCATCTGTAAAAAATATAAACATCACCATAAAAAAATGGAAAAGAGCAGAGGAATTTCTCAAAATGGTGCATAATGAACACAATTAACACATCAATCATTGTCAATGCTGTACTCAAATACTCTTTGTCTGCGTAAGGGATTTCTGATGACTATGTTTAGTTTGAAGTAGCTGTGAAGTCTCATAAAAGAATGCTAGATCATAGATGAAGTATTTAAAAGCGACAAATCCAAAAATCTACGCTCTCAAATGAAAAACTTTAAAGAAATCGCAATGAGTAAGTGAACAACAATTGGAATTCATTACTTTATCATCACATATTGACTTCAGAAGTTAAAGCATGACTTGACTTTTTTGAGTTAGAGCTCTTAATAAGTGATATTCAGATAACATACAAATATTGCATGTATTGGCATTTTTATGCCCCCGCCAGTTAGCGGAGGGGGCATTAAATGTTACCTTTGTCCTTCCAATCGGTACGTCCCCAATATTGGTTTTAGTTCTCTTACTTTAGTTTGCCTCAACCAAATGTTATAAAACTTATACACAATGCTTATTACCACAAAACACAGATCTAGTTTGAAATTGGGTGGCATCACTTTTACCTTTCATGAGTTATGCCCCTTTATAAACATAAAAATTGCTGAATTTTTCATTTCTGTTCTCTTAACTTTAGTTTGCCTCAACCAAATGTTATGAAACTTATACATAATGCTTATAATCACAAAACAGTCTTAACTACATGAATCCTGCATCTGTATGTGAAAGTTGACGAGTGCATATTTACAAGCGGGGGCATCTGTGGCCCATAGACACATTCTCCATTTATTTAAAATTTTATTTGTATAGTAAAATGACAGATTGGAGAATGGATTATATGAAATTAATCACTATATGATTATATCAATATTTTGACAGTTATTTGACTCAATTTCTCGATATGACTTTTACATTGTTACTTTTTCATAGATTTAAACACTTATTGTTATCTTAACTGCCTAAAGTATTCCAGTATTTTCTCCAGCAGACCTTCTATTCTCCGGAGTTGTAGCATGCTCATCTCAGGTAATACTAATAATATAAAAATAAGGAGAAGTGGTTGATTGCTAATAAAGACAACTTTCCATTAAAGACCAAAAGGCAGATTTCAACAATTACCGCTCATTGTATTGCCTTCTAAAATGAGCAAAATCCATAGTGTATAGTAAGCTATAGAAGGCTTAATAATGACAAAATTTGAAACAATTGAAAAGAGAAAACCAGTGCCTGATTTATTATAAGCCAATAAAAGAACAAGAATCATGGCAGACAGCAAACATTGACAATCACTGGATTGCAGGCTCCTCCAGACAGGCACACTAATAGTGTATTTATGGGATAGTAATTTTGTTTGAAATCACACACAAAAATATACACAAGTTCCAATGTACATTTGAAGAAATTTGTAAAAAAGAATCACAAAATTTGAAGTATGAAGATTAACATGCTTGCACAATATGATTTAAAAACTAAATGCTTAATATCAGCTATGAAGGATTATTCTGCTTGGAATGAACCAACACCCTTGGTCAGATTATTAATGTACACTTCAACAGTAAATTTCATTGAAACATTAACTTAAGATAACAAAATTGAGGTTATTAAACTTTCTCCAGTAGACAGTTTGTTTACATGTTTACTTTCTTGAGATTGTCTATTTATAGCTTGATACAAAAGATGTTTTTTTAACATGTTTCCTTTCTTGAGATTGTCTATTTATAGCTTGGTGCAGAAGACAGTTTGTGTACATTTTTACTTTCTTGAGATTGTCTATTTATAGCTTGATGCAGAAGACAGTTTGCATATATGGGGAATGATAACTTACAATGGAGGGAAATGTCAGCAGAAACTGGACAGTAAATGTACACACCTAATAACTTCAGTTACAGAAGGAGTAAGATATAGTAGTCTAATCAAATTCTTATTTTTGACTTTTATTTATCCTCGTTAGAGACATCAAGACTCAGTTAAATATCATTTTAGTTGTTATTTCTAACAGTTTTCAACAATAAGCAAAACCCATACCATAAACTCAGCTATGAAATGCCTTGGAATAACAAAAATTTGAAATAAGTCAAAAGAGAAAAACAGCGGCCTTATTTACTACAATAAACTAACAAAAATTGTGATAGATAACTGCCAAGCACAATGATTTTTTTAGGGAAAACTTTTATTTGTAAAGTTTTTTTTTTAAGATGATGTATCAAGAATTCAATTTGTAATAAACCTTATCGCTATTTGTCCACCATTACTGGACATCACAAAAGTTCCCGTAAAATTTCAACATCACAATAGAAAATGTCTGACGCCACAAAGGAAAAGTAATTGTTATATGACGTCAAAAGTTCAAGTGTTGCAAATTCTCAGGTCAAGTATCGCAGATTCCCAAATAGCGATAAGGTCTATTATTGCTAAATGAGAAATTGTTATAAATATTTCTTATTGAACATTTTATGAAAAAATAATTTTTTTCAACTTTACTATTCAGTAATAAATTTGGACCATAAAGGATATCTATATTGGCCAAAATCCTTAAATAAGAAACTCTCTACAAGCCATACACCTTCCAACCTTACCAACAAAAACTCAATTTGGAGTAACCCGAGAGTTAAACCATGTGAATAACTTTGTTATTGATCTTTATTTGTAGGCAAAATATGAAGCAGCTTTGAAACATGCAGAAAAGGTTAACATAGTTACACCAGACTGGGTAACAGATAGCCTCCAGAAAGAGGCCAAAGTGGATGAATCTGTATATCATCCACGACTTATTGTATATCCTGAACCTGAGCCTCCCACACCCCCAACACCGCCTGCAACCCCTCCCCAGGAGAAAATTCCTACTCCACCTTTGCCACAGCCTATGGATACAAGTGAACCACAGACAATGCCAATTCTAGATAGATCAAATGTTGGTTTACCAAGGCCAAACTTCACAGACTTTCCAGAGAAAGTACAGAAAGGTCGTGTTCGTCCTGACAAATCTCCAAGACGCTCACCAGGCCACCAGGATTCTGCAGGACGGAACATGTCAAAACAGGTGATTTCTCAACAGCTGGTAGCAGCTGTTTTAGAGAGACGGTTATCCAATGAAGATAAAGGAATATCCCGCCCTGACACACCCGGTAGTTCAGCACGTCCTGGCACCCCCAGTGGCACTGCAAGAGAAGCACTTGCTCGTATGGTCAACAATCGTATACAGGTTTGCCTGCTCGCAGCTTCTTTGCACGACATGCATGTCACTGTTACGATTGTTGTGGTATTTTCTCTTGCATGAATTCAGCCCTAGGGTCATGTTTCGTTCCCCTTCTTAGTTGTCCCTTATATAAATCATTAATGTTCTTAATAGATTTTTAGTTGAATTTAGTCATTTGCTTTTATGTTATTGTTGCATATTTGAAGGATCATGCAGAATGGATTAAATGTTTTTTTTATTCTTTGGCCATAAATTTATACAGGTTTAAAATTTCATTTTGTTCATCTTCCCCGAACAACAAAAAATATTTTAATTTGTTTTGTTTTTGTGACCCTAGTGTAATAACTGTTCTTTTTTTCAAATTTTGTGCACAGTTTGTTTTCTTAAGAAAGTCAAGAGTTAAATAAATTTGACAATTAAAATGGGTGTGCTTATTTTGGAAAAAAATTGCAGCTTTTGAAGTATTATAAAGGTCATACAACAAAAATGACAAAGAGTAATATTTACTTATTTTGTAAAATTTCTTTTTTTACCTTTCTCCTTTTTTTCCTTTAAAAAAAAGTATTCGGCTAACTAACCAATATACCCCCTTCAGTAATAAACAACACAGAAATTTTGTTAGGCCTTGCTTGGAGAACATGTCTTTTATTTTAACATAGCTGCATGTATAATTCTTCAACAGACAATCTGATCTTTATTTATATAGATAATGCATACATGTATATATGTATAATGATATAATTATATTTACCATGTTTAAAGATGTTGAAAGTTTGTGGTCATCATAAGTAGATTTTAGCTAGGATTTTAGGGCATGGGGGTGGGGGGGGGGGGGGGGGGGCACACTTTGAGATATTAAAGGACATAATAGTGGTATTTCTAGTCTGAAAGTGGACCAACTTAGTCATGTTAATAAAGTAAAAAATTAATAATTAATAGATAAATGTGTTTTTGGGTTTTAAAATGTTTTAACTACAGTTAAAATGATTTATTTGTATCGAAAAGTATTTATTTCCCATCAGAAAACAGACTAAAATGCATAGGGCAAGACTATAAGAGCAGAGGGGTGCACAAAAAGGGCATAGGGGAGCACATAAATGGCAAAGGGGAGCTGCCACCTCTAATTGGGGCTAGCTAGGACATTGTATTCCTTGCTTCTTATTGGATACACTGCCTCATAGGTGATACAATATTTTTCAAGACAGTTAAATTTTCTAATTTAAAACTTGAGGCATGCTGTGTTTTAGAAATTAAAATATATAACTATTGATTGTGCAGAAGTGGTGTATAATACAAGAGAAGTTGTTTGAATCTATTTCTATAATTTTTAGAGAATAGAATTCAAGCTTAAGTTTCTTTTTCAATGCAATTTTTCTGAGAAATGTCACAATAGCAAGATCTGAAGAAAATTTGATGTCATAAATGAACCGAATTTTGACCAATGAAAATACTCCGAACTACTGAGCTGCATGTTCATTATCAAATTATAATCAACTGGTTAGTCAAAGTAGAAATTAGATTGCACACTTTGAGATATTAAAGGACATAATAGTGGTATTTCTAGTCTGAAAGTGGACCAACTTAGTCATGTTAATAAAGTAAAAAATTAATAATTAATAGATAAATGTGTTTTTGGGTTTTAAAATGTTTTAACTACAGTTAAAATGATTTATTTGTATCGAAAAGTATTTATTTCCCATCAGAAAACAGACTAAAATGCATAGGGCAAGACTATAAGAGCAGAGGGGTGCACAAAAAGGGCATAGGGGAGCACATAAATGGCAAAGGGGAGCTGCCACCTCTAATTGGGGCTAGCTAGGACATTGTATTCCTTGCTTCTTATTGGATACACTGCCTCATAGGTGATACAATATTTTTCAAGACAGTTAAATTTTCTAATTTAAAACTTGAGGCATGCTGTGTTTTAGAAATTAAAATATATAACTATTGATTGTGCAGAAGTGGTGTATAATACAAGAGAAGTTGTTTGAATCTATTTCTATAATTTTTAGAGAATAGAATTCAAGCTTAAGTTTCTTTTTCAATGCAATTTTTCTGAGAAATGTCACAATAGCAAGATCTGAAGAAAATTTGATGTCATAAATGAACCAAATTTTGACCAATGAAAATACTCCGAACTACTGAGCTGCATGTTCATTATCAAATTATAATCAACTGGTTAGTCAAAGTAGAAATTAGATTGACTGATTGATTATTAGTGTTTAACACCACTTTCAGCAGCTTTTTTGGAGGCCAGTTTTTTATTGAAAGAGAAAGCCATAGAGAACTACAGACCTTCAACATTAAAACTGGCAAACCTAGTCAATTAAAATGGGAGTGAAACATACTTGCCATGGGCAGGGTTTGATCTCTTAATCTCAGTGTTGACAGGCTAGTGGTCACTATAGACAAACTACAATATTTGGTCTCAAAATATATAAGTTTGTACTGTTTAAGCTATTTTCAAATCTGCTATTTAGTTACTTCATTTGAACAATTACAGATCCATGCCTAAAGGAGGCTATGGCTTAACTTCACGGTTCAGTGGTCACAGTTATGATATTTGATATTTAAGCATGAATATTCTGCTAGACATAGACATTCTTCACATGTTATTAGCTTCATAGCACACAATGTCCAATGTTCACTGATATTCTGGTTTACTAAGAGTCAATAGTTGTCATGTAGTTTAGCAACTTTTGTAGATTTTTTACCATTACAACAGATTATTAGCGGTCTAGTCTACAAAATTAAAATTCAATATAAAAAACTAATGGATGGATACCCCATATCCTTTGTTTTTCTATTAAATTTGGTAAATATCAGGGGGAAAAAATTAATATATGAATTTTTTTACAACCTATGCTTTCAAAAGTTTTTATCAAGCTGTTCACTAAAAATTTAAAAAAATTTATAATAATTTGCAAAATTTCAAATTTTAAGAAATAACAATGAAACCACCAAATATTATTTTTACGATTTTTGCACGGTTATATTTAAAAAAAAACCCAACTAATTAAGCTACTGAACAGCAAAGATAGACTTTGATTTTTTTACCAGTCCATGGGAAGAACAAAAGTCTTGACCACCAAATCCACCCATATGGAGCGTATAGGCCTTTTATCACAAGACTAAAGGGGAGGACATGGTTTTGGGATGTGTGATATTGGGTAAAAAAGTGGGGCTGTGTCACATAGGGGATAAAAAAATGTTGGATCTGGGAAAAAGAAGGAAAAAAGTTTGAAGTGGGAAATAAAATTAAAAAAATTGGGGTTTGGGTAATGGGCACCCCGTCCTCAAAACTTACAAGTAAAATGCGTTGACAGAAAGCATTTCAGCATTCCAACAAACAAGTGATAAAAAACATTGATGGATGCCGCTCACCAGAACACAAAGTAAATTATTTGCAATTTATTTAGTTTAAAGTAATGTAAAACTTGTACCAAAAATTGAATTTGAAACAATGTTTGGACCAGAAACCTCTAATAAGAGATACAAAAAAATATACTATTTATATGAAGTTTAAATGAGTTTAATTGTTTTTAATGATTTTGCAGTTATAGTTAGTTTGTAACATGACATGATACAATGAAGAATGATTTATATTTAACTTTAAATTACTTTCTTAACAACTCTCTAATTTGTTTTGGTTACTCTTCACTATCTAGTCAGGTTGTTGTAAATTTATTTCTTGAAAAGATGAAGAAATTCATGATATGTCATGTTACAACATTTGTTATACACGTGATCAATGCACATGTAGAGTTTTAGACAGTGTTTTGATTTTTCACACAGGGTGTTGGTGTTGGTAGTAGGAGTGGTCACATCCCCGTGCCTAGGATGCCATCCATGCCCCCTTACCCTCTCCCACCACAGTTACAACAGTTTCAGCAAGGTGGTGCTCCACACCTATCTCAACAGGACTTTCTGTCTCACATGAGGACACTACGTAATATCACAAACAATGAGATGAGGCAGGCTAGACCGCCTCCACCTACAAACAAGGTACAATCAAGCATCCAATTCTGTAGTAATGTTAGAGGAAGTACATCACTAATTCATGACCCCATTGCTTTCTATGTTAAATTTCTCAATTTCAAGCAGGCACAGCTCTTTTGTCAAGTTCAAATAAAATGACAATCATTGCATGTCAAAGAAACACCTCAGGATGTCTTGTACTGGAAACATCAACATGCCTTTAATTGCATATAAGAGAGAACTGGTTATCGGAACTTCAGATGTACCAAAACAGGTACTTTAGATCTGACAAACAGGCAAAATACATGTATACCCTCCTTTTTAAATTTCATGCAAATTTTTTAGTATTCAAAATTATCAGTCAAAATTTTTTTTACAACGATCACCAGTCATTCAGCTTTCATTTGATACCAAAAATTACTACAATATTCTACATATTTTGAAAGTTACACCCATGGGTAGGAACTATTTTGTGTTAAATATGTACTACTTTCTGGTATGTGCTTTCCAACTGGGCCCAAATTAGTGGTGTTACACCTTGATCTTATGTACAGCCTTCATGAAAAGTTTTGGACTTACAAGACGGATTATCCATCTTTCATAAATTTCTTTAAATTTATATGGAATGTGAGGCATTGGACCAATCAAAAACACAAGTGATTTTGAACTTAATTGTACTTTTTCATCAGTATTTTTTTTATTTTAAAATTTTCCCTACTTCAGTAGTTATTTTGAAAATGGCAAAACTTTGTCTCTAAAAAAAACATTTCCATATCAACTCTATGTTATCAATCTTAAATAGATTTCGTAATATGTGTCTATTATTTCAGGTCAGTCAGATGTTAGGTTTGAACATGCAGGTTCCTCATCGACAGCCCCCACCAAGGTACACGCCTCCATCTCCTCAAAAGATGGGTACCCAACAGCTACAACAGTCACCTTACTGGGGACATGAACCTTCTGATAATGGTAAAGTTGTTATATATGTTACTTTGTATGAATTCATAATTGCTCCAGTAATCATAGAAATAATCATGCTAGAATTTATTAAACTTGTGTTGAACATTTCGAATAAAAGCGTAATCCCTAACATGAATTAAAAAAAAAGTCAATAGATTATGAAGTGAAATGTTAATTTCATTAGAATATTTGGTCCAAACATCAGATCCAGTGTACTACATTAGGCCACTCTTAACAAATCTTTGTTTGATGTTGCCTACCCATGCCTTCTAGGGTTGGGTAGGTAGGTAGGGATTTTATTTTATTTTTTCCTACAGCATAAGTTACATGTTTTAGATAAGAAAACAACGTTAGCGCAGGAAAAAATCTTTAAAAATAATTTGAGAAAATTTGTGTCATAATTTTTTTTCGGGTAGGCTGCTTTTTACTTATTTAGATGGGTAGGTAGGCTTCATCAAGCAAATTAAATTTTATTTTTGGCCAATGTATGACATCAGATGATCAAGTCAGATTTGAGAAGATTTTAATTGTTCTTTTTAAAATTGTGTAACTCATGTATTTCAGAATTGTCAAAAGTGAAATTCAGAGACATTCTTGTTTTTTATTAGCTCACCTGGCCGAAAGGAGTTATTGAACTTTAAATGATAATTTTTCAACATGTTTTTGCATTTTTTGCCTATTATCTTGAAATTTATAATAGATAAATAGAAACTTTAAAAAGTAAAAATTATCAACAAGATAATTTCTACAAATATATGTCAATGTGACTGAAATTGTCAGTTAAATCTTAATAGAGTTATTCACCTTTTTTGATGATTTTTACGAAAAAGTGCCTATTGTTGAAGATACAGATGAGCAACACAGGCTCTTTAGAGTCTCTAGATATAAAAAAAATTCCGTTTGAAAACTTCTAAATTAAGGGAAGATATCTTTTTTCCAAAAAATAATTTGTTTTAATAGCTAGTAATTTTTAACCTTAAGATATTAATTCAGCAAATAAAAAATATTTTTGGAAAAATGATTGCTGAAAGAGAAAAAAAACTTAAAAAGAGCAAGTGATTTCCATGAGAGTAAATTCATCTGCGATGGTTCACTTGTGTAGCATTTGGTATTAAGAAGTAAAAGCTAAGACTGGTTTGCTTAGAGTCGGAAAACAATGTGTAAAATTAACTTAACATCCCTGCACGCATTTGTGATCCAGCACATTAAATCTTACTCAAGAGCAGGGTATACACCATTCAAGTGTCATCTTCCTGAAAATGCATGTAATAGTTGCTACTAATCATACAACAACCATCAATCAGATTTAGGACTATTCCATTAAAATGTATGTGGGAGGGTAGGAAGGGAAGTTTAATTATTGAATGTGGGTCATGGGTCTTTTTTCAGTATGCGTCTATTACCATTATGCAAAATTATCTAAAAAATGGTTCTTGGTTGTAGGGGTATTTTGAAAACCCTTCCTACCCTCCCACATACATTTTAATGGAATAGCCCTTAGTAATTTCTTGTAGGGAAAGCACCTTATAATAGTGATATTTTAACTGTTACCCTAGCAGGAATCTGCTTATTGAAACAATTTCTCATTTCAGTTCCAGCAGATATGTGTCTTCTTGGTTGTGTTTTCTTCATCACAGATTATCAAAAGATTCTTGGACAGGAACAAATTGACAACTGGAAAAAGGTTTGTTTATAAGTTGAACTTCAATTTCTAAGTTTTCCCTAGAAATGTTTTAAAGAATGATGGAAATGTCTTTAAATTTAATGCCTAGCACACAGGGAACACTTGATTTCACATTGAATACTGTGTATTCATTTATTTTCAAGGGTTCCAATTTCCGTGGGTTGAGGAAAAATTGCATCTTTATTGATATTTGATTTAGTGGTTTTGCTAAAGTCTACATACAAGCCTATAGAAAATTTGTATTTCGTTGAACATTTAAATTCATGGTTCACCTTTGCCCCCGAAATCAAAGAAAAATGGTATCCAAAGAATAAAAATGAATCCACTGTAATTAAAAAATCTTAAAAGAATTTTGAAATGCTCAATATTCATTAGATAGAGGAAAATCATTAGATAGAGGAAAACACTAATAGCAGTTGTTTCTTGAAATTATCAGTTTTCAGTTTTTTTTTGTGCATCTTAGGGTAAGTATAAAATACTTTCCAACACCTCCATACATTTTCATTTCTAAAATTGAGAATGGAAATGGGGGAATATGTCAAAGAGACAACAACCCTGCCAAAGAGCAGATAACAGCCGAAGGCCACCAATGGGTCTTCAACGCAGCGAGAAAATCCCGCACCCGGAGGTGGTCCTCAGCTGGCCCCTAAATAAAAATGTGCACTAGTTCAGTGAAAATGGACGTCATACTAAACTCCAAAACATATAAATGAACTAAAATTAAAAAACATACAAGACTAGCAAAGGCCAGGGGTTCCTGAATTGGGACAGGCACAAAAATGCGGCGGGGTTAAACATGTTTTGTGAGATCTCAACCCTCCTAGAATAGTCTAGAGAAGAAATGCTTGTAAAAGTTATAAATATTTTAATATGCTACTATGCACATGTATCCTTCAATACAATTTAAGCCTCAACTTGCCTTCAGAAGTATATTTCTTTGAACACTTATTGATAAGACAATTTGAAAATTTTGAAAAGAAAGTGAGAAGATATCTTAGGGGTAATAACAAAAAAAAGGCAGTCAGCATCCCAATGAAAAAAAAGACAACAAAACAAACCATTTCTCCTAGGATGAAATAAAAAAATTATCCTTAAAATGTGACTTTCTGATTGAAGTTACTTGAAATACGCATTTAAAGTCAGATTTTGCAAAAGTTTCCAAATTGACGTGTTGTTTTTCTGGCACAATTAGTTGATATAAATCATAGATTGAATAGAGGACTGGCATAGAATTGTCTCCCTTTGTTTATTTATTGATTCTTTTGAAATACAACATTTTTGAGAAAGAACATTTACCTGTATTTTCAGGTGATAGAACAGCATGGTGGACAGGTAGACACATCATATTCCAACAGGATTACACATATATTGGCAGCCAATCAACACAGTGATGTATTCCACCTGGTAAGGGTTTTTTCTCAAGGCTAGAGGCATTTTTTTGGTTAAGCGTTATATTTTTTCCAGAAAACTTTTGCGTTTATTTGAGATATTTTTTGGCCCTTTCTATTAGCATTTGAATGAAATTAAGTGATTTACCTTTGAAATGGTATAAATATATACAATATGGATAGAGAAATAGATTTACTAATTAAAAAAAAATTAGGGGGCTGGTGGAGTAATTTTAAATGTTCTTTTTCCCTAAAAAAAAACATGAGGTCGTATATTTGTTAAATAAATATACAGTGCTACAGAGCTGATTAAGATGTTAAAAAACAAAAACAAAACATACTTTTTCACATTTCCTGTAAACTGATGGTTTAGATTGTACTCAGTTGTAGTAAGCAACATATAGATGTTGACTTTATGGCTGTTTAAATTTGAACTTTATTTCAGATGAATCAAGTAAGTAATATATATAATACACAACCACCTTGCATACCTTGTATTCATTTTAGAGATGAAATGTGATTACCAAACACGATAAACAGCAATTTGTAAATCTGCATTGATCTTTGATGCTTCAATATAGCTATAGCACTAAGATTTGTGGGTATTTGCAATTTTTATCGGAAGTACTCACATTTTACTTTGAGATGACCCCTTGCTTTATCACTTGGAATTGTGGGATATTTTTGTATAGCTACATATACTGAGTAAGTGCAATGTGGGAAGGTTATAATCAGAAACTTACCGAATGTGTTTGATCTTTTGGATTTGTGGTATTACTTAATAAATTTTACCAGATTGAGTGTGGCTTAGAATTAAGGCTCTATGTATTGAAGGAAAGGTAATTCATGTGTCAGTTCTTCGTCAGTGCAATGAGATTTTGAAGATTTATGTATTACTAAATACGTGTTTCAACTCATTCTTTTTCTTCCATGAATTATATATAGAATATCCTTGAATTACGTAGAAGTCTAAGTAAGCCATGCCCAACCAGGTAAAATTGATTGAGTAATAATGTTTTGTTTTTTGTAATCAGATAATATGTACTAGTCATACTACACTGCATAGGTCTTTTTAAAAAGAAATACTAAATAGTCTAGTTTGAATTTTTTGAATTTGCTTCTCCGTTTGTAAGCTAGAGTACTTCCTGTTTGAGTTTATTGTTTCACAATAAAACAGAATTTGCTCAATTTTCACTTTCTAATTTTTATGCCCCACCTACGATAGTAGAGGGGCATTAATTTTTTCCGTCTGTGCGTCCGTTCGTTTGTTCGTCCGTCTGTTCGTCCGTCTGTGCCGCTTCAGGTTAAAGTTTTTGGTCACCGTAGTTTTTGATGAAGTTGAAGTCCAATCAACTTGAAACTTAGTACACATGTTCCCTTTGATATGATCTTTCTAATTTTAATGCCAAATTAGAGTTTTGACCCCAATTTCAGGGTCCACTGAACATAGAAAATGATAGTGTGAGTGGGGCATCCATGTACTATGGACACATTCTTGTTAAATAATGAAATCAACTTTTCTGACTTCTTGCTTTACATCCTTTGTACATAAGAAGTCTCAATACCTTTCGAAAAGGAAGTGTTATCTAGCAATGAAACTGAAAATTTAAATGCTTAATTGAAGCTTAGGTTAAAAATAGCAAAATTTCAACTAAGTTCAACCTTTTAAGCAAAATTTCATATTGGCTCAAGAGAATTTCTGTAAAGTCCTGTTGTGTAATGAAATTTAGAATATTTTGGTTTTTAAATATTTATGATATATTTGCATTATAAAACCAATTGAATTAAAGAAAAACATGTCTATTTATCCTACTGTCAATCAGAGGTTTATCCTACTGTAAAGTAATGGTCAAACAGAGGTTTTGAGTACTTTTCTTTTAAAAGAGAGTCATAGAAAACAATTAAGATTACTGTATACAGTGTTATTTCACTCGGAGAAAAGCATTAATGTGAGAGAAAAAAGTGATGTTGAAATTTCTTTTAAGTGAAACAATAACCTCAAATTTTAAATTTCCAAACCCAATATTACATATACATATTCAAATACCTTTTCTTTGTCCTATGAGCTAAATCTTGCATTTTATGCTTTAATCTGTTGATATGAAGAAAAAAAATTCCTATCTTTAAGCCAACATAGAAGATGAACTTTTCTATCTTCCAATTCTTCACTAATCTTTTGAAAAAGCTTAAAAAGTCAATGTACCAATTAGCATGTTTAGGCATTGAAATGAGTGTTGATTTTTAATTATTTGTTTTCATTAATTTTTATTTGTTTGTATATCTTTAATGAATAACTGTGTATTTAATCTTGATTTAGAGTATTATATACTACAGTTTTGTAGTGATGTTTTGGAAATTATATTGATTTTTCATAAGGACTAGTCCATTAAAATGAATGAGGGCAGGTAGGATGGAAGTTTTATTTTTTTGCTAGGGCCAATTACGATTTTATGTCAATTTTATGTATGTAAAATTAATGAAATAGTAGTTTTTGAAGGTACTTTCCATCCACCCTAATTTCTTAATGGAATAGTCCAAAGAAATTATAAAAACTCTTCCCTTAAGTAACAAGTGTTTATCATCTTATATTTTGTAGGCATTAAGAGATCAGAGAAGAGTTGTAACTGCTTACTGGCTGAATGATGTATTAGTAAAGAAAAAGATGATGCCTCCATGGCAAGCTCTTCACTTACCTCTGATATACGGGGAAAACAAACCTTGTAGCAATCAGGTAAGAAGATGTCACAACAAGGCAAATGTACTGCAGATTTATTTATTTTTGTGGGTACCAATTTTCGTGGATTAAGGATAAATTTCGTAGATGTGTATATTTGATTTTGGGAGTGCCAAAGACTGCAATCCTAGAGAAAATTTGTACTTTGTGAAAATTTAAATTCGTGGTTTACTTATACCAATGAAATCCAAGAAAATTGGTATCCCAGGAATATAAATTAATCCACGGTATATGGTAAGGGCTATTCCATTAAAATGTATGTGGGAGGGTAGGAAGGGACTTTCAAAATATCCCTACAACCAAGAACCATTTTTTAGATAATTTTACATAATGGTAATAGACGCATACTGAAAAAAGACCCATGACCCACATTCAATAATTAAACTTCCCTTCCTACCCTCCCACACACATTTTAATTGAATAGCCCTAAATATTCACACTACCTACATGCGATTAAAAAACTTTTCTTATTTACAATTGAATCCCTTTTAGGGCTGTTCCATTAAAATTGATGTTGGAGGGTAGGAAGATCGTTTTATTAAAAATCCCCAAACAAATAAACTTTCTGTGTGTAATTTTGAAAACATCAAACATGAAAAAGGCTCATATAACAATAGATAGCCAAGCATAAAACTTGCCCATGTTTTGCTTTTGAAAAAGGAGTTAACCTTTTGTATTCAATATTTTACAAAATCTGAAGTTTAATTTGTTGAGGCAGGAATGGGCAAACCACAATTGGAAAGGCAGAAATGTATGAAGTTTACCTTAAATGTAGAGTAAGAAGACATTTATATATGTATTTTTAGGTTCTGTGTATGACTAATTTTGAAGGAGAGGAGAGAATCAGAATTAAACAGATGATAAATGCTATAGGTGCAAGATACACAGGTCACATGACCCATGGAAATACAGCGCTTATCTGCAGAAAGTAAGATTATAGATATTTACAGAGGTGGGAGTAGGTTAAGGGAGATAAGTCTTAAAATCAATGGTATGTTTGTGCCAACCATTTTAATGAAAGAATTCTTTTATGGGAGTACCAAACACTTTCTGACTAAAGTAGTTTTGGCTCGTTTAATTTTTATAAAATTTTGACAAAATATTTACTTTGACATGTTAAAAAAATGAAAATTTCAAGAATATTTAACCACACCATTTACAGGAATAATTTCATTAGATTTTGATCACTGAGAAGCTTGATTTCTGTTTACTGCAATTAAAACGTTCAGCTGATTTTCAAAGAGTTCACTCCCTGTAACCCCTAAAGCAGGATTTGTGCCACTTGACTGCTTAAAAGTATTGAAGAAACAGGCCTTACTGGTTGATACGTTCTTCACTCAATATTAAGTAAAAATGAAATGAACAACTAAATTGTAAAATCTGATCAGCTTACAACTGTTCAGTGTATATTTTTTACACACCTTTACAAATCATGTTTACTCAAGATTTTTTCCTAATCTGATGCTAGACAAAATGTCTTCGTGCTAATAAATTAAGGGTAAAATTTGAATGTATTCATTGTTAAGTCACTTGATAATTATCTCATTCTTGTATTGTCATGTTAAATATTAGTATTGTATTTTTATTATTTCAAACTGAATTTATATCAAACTTTTATAATGAAAAAGGTCAGATTAAACAGTAATGGTTTTGGTATTCGATACTCAGTCCTTTCCGACAGGTAACCAGTCAACCGTTGACATCACTTTTTGATATATATTAATCTATTTTTTTTTATCACAGACCAGAGGGAGAAAAGTATGAAAAGGCAAAGGAATGGAAGTTAGCAGTAGTGAATGTCCATTGGTTGACTGACCTGGTACTTGGACACCTGGATGCCCTTAAGTTACCAGTTCAACCAAAGTACTTACAGCTATATCCTGATCCCTTCCAGATGGATATGTCATTGGTCCATCATCTAATGGGTATGTGGTTTTTGCATATATTTATACTCCCGCTGTAGGCGATTGGAGCATTAAGTGTTACCATTGACTGTCTGTCATTCCGTCTGTCTGTCCCATTTTTGTTGCAAAGCTTGAGCAGGGCCATTCATGTCCTCAGACACATTCTTCTTTTATTTTTTTAATGCTTTAGTTCCCTGTTTTAATTGTGTTAATGTGGATTCATTTATTTTTGAGGTTATTAGTTTTCATGGATTCATCAAAAAATGTATTTTCGTGGATCTTGATGATGTGGTTTTGCCGAAGTCATCATAAAAAGCTGTAGTAGATTTGTACTTTGTAAATTACGAAAGATCCACAAAAATTGGTACCCCATGGATAATTATTAATGAACAGTATGATGGAAGTTTGATCTCACAAATTCATAGCTTGTGTATTGCATTAAAAGACATTGGTCAAGAAATCAATCAAAGTAACTGGAAATAAAGGCGAAGCAACAATGAAACAATATGGTATTAAGGTGGTACATCACACTTCAGGGAGATAACTCTGTAAAAATCTGCTGAACGTTTTAATCACGTTCTGTTGTTAGGGAAATATTAAGCCTCTCAATGATCAAAAGTAGTGTTTGTCAAACTGCTATATGTCCAATGAAATTTTTCCAATAAAGTGTGTGGTACAAGTTTTTTGAAATTTTTATATTTTTGTCAAAGGGTCAAAGTAAATATTTTGTCAAAATTTTATGAAAATTAAAGGAGCTAAATTAATTTTAGTCAAGGTGATTGGTACCACATTAAGTATGTTCATATATCATTAAAGTTTTTTTCTGATTTTATAAAATATTATCACAGTTAAAATTATATTGACATACCAGCAGTTATGAGGCAGTTTCTGTTCTAAGGTACATCAAAAGATATGGATCTCTAGAAATATTCCGTAATTAAAACAGAGCTTAGTGGGGACAGGTGAACCACAAATTCAAATATTCAAGGAAATACAAATTTTCTATAGGCTTGTATGCAGACTTTTGTGAAACCCTGAAATCAAATATCCACAAAAATACAATTTTTCCTTAATCCACGAAAATAGGTACCGAAAAAATAAATGAATCCACAGAAACTGGAATGACCTAAATATTGGACAATACAGCAGAAAACAAATAAGACTTTAAAACAAGAACGAACAACACAGGGTCAAGATAGCTGGATTTGGTACAGGCACACAATGTGTTGGGGATAAAGCACATTCAAGTACTGGGTAGATGGTAAACTAATGGCAATTGTCAAAAAAGGATTAAACAGATAATACTGGAACTTTAATTAATTGTAATATTATGATTATAGATAATTCAGACAATTTAGTATGTACATTTTGTAACAAAATTATATCCCATTTCTTTTTACAGTCGGATGGAGATCTCCACTGAAAATACAGAGAGAAACTTGGAAGGTATGTTACGATGTATAAAAGTAGCAGCAAAGTTAGATGACCCTGGTTGTATAAATGTATACATGCAAATAGGACATTTCTGTGAGAATTTTGATAATATCGGGCCCGTAGTCCGGATGTCATGAGGGGTATAATAGGGGTCACGAGGCTCAGAATTGAATATTGTATTGCATGCAAATTGGTAAAAAGTATTTTTATTAGTTTTTATTTACCTTGAATTGGACATTTTATTTCACATTCTTCTGTACACATACCCCACTCCTTTTTACTACCATCTGTGATATCCATCTTGGACACATTGTTATATTATTTATGCAATTGTTGAGACATAAAATCTTCAATGTATTGAAATTATATTTGTTTTGGATAGCCGTGTTTATCAGTGAAACTGAGTTTCACGGTAGAAAAGCTTAGAACTGGTGATATGATGAATATGTGATTATATTTTCTAGACAATGTTAACTAGATAATAATTTTTATTCATTTTCAGAAATTTTTACCACAGCAGAAGTTTAGATCAGCACCTGCTCCAGGTCAGGAAAACAATGTAGAGAACACAGAACCTCCAGCAAAGAAGAAAAAGTAAGTTTAAATGAGCTAGGAGTTTCCTGACTTCTTTTAAAATTATACATTTGTACAATTTTGTTGATTGTATAAGGTAACTGGTGACCTAGTTAGCTATACAGACCATCGAGTCTGATTAATCTCACATTTAAGAATTGAATGCTGCTTCTTGTAAATTCATTCTAAAAATGTGCGCACGGTCAACATACAATGGAATTTTTACAACCCTATAAAATTACCAAAAGAAGCATTCAATACTTATAATTACATTTATTGCTAGGATCTGCATGAAAACACAATTTATATCAAGTTTTTCTTTTGTTTACCTGTGCACTTTATTGTTGAATCTCGTGTCATCATGAATGTTACATTTCATGTTGAAATGAAGATTAATTTCAGAATGACGCGAGATTGCTGTTAACCAATCAAAATAACCTATTATAATAAAATATACATGTAATGTAATTATTGTATTGTATATAACTTTATATTCTTATGTGTAATATTTCAGACAGGAGAATGAAGAAATAAGTATTCAGATAACAAATGCTAATGGTCCTAGAGTTTTGTTCACTGGTTTTATGAAAGGACTGGCCAAGAAGTTGCAGGCAGTAAGTAGCATTGCTAATAAAAGCTTTTATCTAAATTTTAGAATTCTTATAACAGGAAGGAACCTTACATTCCCAAAATTTTTTACCATATCTGTAAATTATATTTTTATGCCCGATGCAAATGTTTTGGTATTTATAAAGTCAATGCAATTGTTTTGGTATTTATAAAGTCAATGCAATTGTTTTGGTATTTATAAAGTCAATGCAATTGTTTTGGTATTTATAAAGTCAATGCAAATGTTTTGGTATTTATAAAGTCAATGCAATTGTTTTGGTATTTATAAAGTCAATGCAATTGTTTTGGTATTTATAAAGTCAATGCAATTGTTTTGGTATTTATAAAGTCAATGCAATTGTTTTGGTATTTATAAAGTCAATGCAATTGTTTTAGTTATATTGATTTTTTTTTTTAGTCCCTTACCGACGAAGTTGAAGGGGACTTTAGGTTTGCACTCTGTCTGTCTGTCTGTCCATCTGTAAGTCCGGCAAATCAGTTTTCCAAACTATTTAGCTCACCTGGCCCGAAGGGCCAAGTGAGCTTTTCTCATCACTTGGAGTCCGTCGTCTGTCGTCGTCGTCCGTCGTCGTTAGCTTTTTACAAAAATCTTCTCCTCTGAAACCACAGGGCCAAATTTAACCAAACTTGGCCACAATCATCATTAGGGTATCTAGTTTAAAAAATGTGTCCGATGACGCCGCCAATCAACCAAGATGGCCGCCATGGCTAAAAATAGAACATAGGGGTAAAATGTAGTTTTTGGCTTATATCTCTGAAACCAAAGCATTTAGAGTACATCTGACATAGAGTAAAACTGATTATCAGGTCAAGATCTATCTGCCCTGAAATTTTCAAACAAATCTGACAACCTGTTGTTGGGTTGCTGCCCCTGAATTGTTAATTTTAAGGAAATTTTGCAGTTTTTGGTTATTATCTTGAATATTATTATAGAAAGAGATAAACTGTAAACAGCAATAATGTTCAGCAAAGTAAGATCTACAAATAAGTTGTCATGACCAAAATTGTCAGTCGACCCCTTTAGGAGTTATTGCCCTTAATAGTCAATTTTTAACAATTTTTTGTAAATTTTTGTAATCTTTTACAAAAATCTTCTTCTCTGAAACTACTGAGACAAATTTAACCATACTTGGCCATAATCATTATTAGGGTATCTAGTTTAAAAAATTTGTCCTATGACTGCGCCTTCCAACCATCATGGCCGACTTGGTTAAAAATAGAACATAGGGGTAAAATGCAGTTTTTGGTTTATATCTCTGAAACTAAAGCATTTAGAGCAAATCTGACAGGTGGCAAAAATGTTCATCAGATTTATATTTATCTGCCCTGAAATTTTCAGACGAATCCGATAACTTGTTGTTGGGTTGCTGTCCCTGAGTTAGTAATTTTTTACAAAAATTTTGCAGTTTTTTGTTATTATCTTAGATATCATTATAATATTTAATATCTAATACTATTAATTATGATTTTAACCTATTTTACATGATTTCCAAAGCATCAGTAAATACAGGTGAGCGACACAGGCTCTTGAGAGCCTCTAGTTTCTTCATGTTTGAAAGTATTTATTTGAAATTTGTTATATAGTTTTATCATGACAAGTTACAGATCAAGTTTGAATTATGTTCCGATCTGATGATTTTGTGCAGAATTATGGTTCTTGGACTTATAAAATTCGCTCAAATAATCAGTTTTCCACACTTTTTTTTTGTCATGCTTGAAGATATTGACTTGATATTTGTTATATAGTTTACACTATGACAACTTATATATCAAGTTAGCATTTTGTTCCAGTACAATTCTTAACCGGTAGGGGACTATGTATTGCCATGCAATACTCTCAGAATGCTTGTTATCAAAATATTAGAAATAATAAAATGTCAAAACAGTACCGGTATATATTTCATTTGCAAAATATGGTAAAATTTTATGGTGAATGAAAATATGTGTCAAAGTGCTAGTTCGTACAGACAGAGTAGTCTCTTTCATAAAATTCAAAATGGGAAGTTAAAATTGACCGTAACCTCTCCTGGCCAGCCAGTCTTCATGATCTTGCATCATATACATTTTTTATTACCAATCATCAGCTGGGACTGGATCTTGATAAATGTCTGATATGCACAAGAAAATGCAATTTCACAAACACACAGTATAAACATGACAACAAAATATGAGTAGACTACAATGGGTTATTATGAAAATGATAATGATTGTACATTGCTTTGATATTTTGTCAAGTAATGTTAATTAAGTCTGAAATGTGTTTTTTTTTTTGTATTACAGAATGTTATTCAGCTAGGTGGCATGGTCACAGAAAATCCCAAACAATGTACACATGTTGTAGCTCCAGCTATCTCACGAACAATGAAATTTTTCATAGCTGTCAATGTATGTAAATATGTGGTCACCAAAGAATGGTTAGAAGATAGTATGGCCAAGAATAGGTTTGCAGGTAAATGAAATTTTATCTCAAGAAAAATGATGTATGTGCTATTGGTGTTACTGTGACTTGACTGTTAGTGTTGCTCTCCACCTATTGCAACTTATTCAAAATTCTGACCAAATTGCAATTTGTTTTATAAAACCAAACTGTTCAACTGGTCAGAAATTTGAACAAATGCTGTAGAAAACCACAGTCAAGTCGTGAAAGTGCAAGGTGATAAAATAAAGCATACTTACAATCCTACAAGACTTTAAATCCACTTCAATGTTATTATGAAAAATTAATCTAACAGTTTGTATAGAAATTTTATTGTTATTGTCATGCTAAAGGTGATAGTTAGTAATTTAGAATTGCTATAAAAATGTCCAAACTAAGCTTTCATACAATTTTTCTTTTGAAAAGTATTCTATATTCATAAGAATCAGACATCATTTGAATTAAAACATCTTATATTCAGTAAAATATATGTGAAATTACAATACGTTGTTAATAAGTTTCCATGGGAGATAACCTAAAACATTATTCTTTTGAATATAGAAGACATTTCGAAAGAAAAATTGTATGAAAACTTAGTTTGGACATTTTTATAGCATTTCAAAATTACTAACTATCACCTTTAGCATGACAATAACAATAAAATTTCTATATAAACTGTTAGATTAATTTTTCATAATAACATTGAAGTGGATTTAAAGTCTCATAGGATTGTAAGTATGCTTTTTTTATCACCTTGCACTTTCATGACTTGACTGTGGTTTTCTACAGCAGTTTGTTCAAAATTCTGACCAGTTGAACAGTTTGGTTTTATAAAACAAATTGCAATTTGGTCAGAATTTTGAATAAGTTGCAATAGGTGGAGAGCAACACTAACAGTCAAGTCACAGTAAAGTTGGATGAAAATTTAGAATTGCAGAACCAAAATTCCTTGAAAAAACTGTCTTACTTTTGTTTCGAAGAGAAGAGTTTTCTTTTTGTCTTATGTGCTGTCTCATTTAGTTATATCAATGAAAAACAAATATTATTTTGTTAAGTCGATGTTGAATAAAAAAAGTAGTAATCTGCTTTATGATTTATTGATATATTTTGATTTTATCAGATTTTAACATATAATTTCATTTCAGATCCAAATATGTACGCCCTTCGAGACATTAAAGCTGAGACAGAGATGCAGTGTAACTTACAGGATTCAATCTCCAGAGCTCAAGCAAAACCATTGTTTCAGGTAAGTAATGCATATTGTAAATAGAAAATGTTGGTGTGTAATCATGTATTAAATTATCAAGCAGCTTTTCTTTGTTTAAATATGATACTGACTGGAAGAAGATGAATCTATTTATGCCGCACCTACGATAGTAGAGGGGCATTATGTTTTTCAGTTGGTGTGTCTGTTCGTCCGTCTGTTTTGCTTCAGGGTAAAGTATTTGGTCAAGGTAGTTTTTGATGAAGTTGAAGTCCAATCAACTTAAAACTTAGTACACATGTTCCCTATGATATGATCTTTCTAATTTTAATGCCAAATTAGAGTTTTGACCCCAATTTCACGTTCCACTGAACATAGAAAATGATAGTGCGAGTGTGGCATCCGTGTACTATGGACACATTCTTATTTTTTAAATTATTGATGTTTTATTCATGCAAATTTCAACAAATACAAATAGATATCAAACATACATACATACACAGATTAGCACTACACTTTTAATATCATATATCTGGAATATTAAACTCTGTTGAAAATTCTTGTTACAAAAAAATTTTAAGTTCAAATTTCCAAAATGAAGGATAAAGATGTATCTGAACTTTAACCTCTTCTTGGTCCAATGCAATTAATGTATCTCAAAGATTTGATGTACTGTAAATTCAGAAATTATTGTGTGCATTTATTATTGCGATTTTGTTAATATAGACTAAAATGCGATTTTAATTTTTACGATATTGAGAAAAATTCTGTTTAATGCATATAAAAAATTTCAAAATGCGAGTTTAATTTATTGCGATTATAACCCTGTCGCACTTTTCACAATAACAAAAACATCGCAATAATTTCCGAATTTACAGTAGTTCATATAATTATATTATTTGACAACTGCTAAATACTTTGTTATTTTGAAGAAGAAATTCAAATTGTCAAAAATGATAGAAATTAAAATGGAAACTTTTTTAACTTCTTATTGATACAACGTACATAATTATAATTCCTTTCCTCAATTAGTGAAAGTGATATCAGTGTTCTCCTTTGGGCCCTATAGCACCATCATGCTATTGTTCTACCTGAATAGTTTAATGATAGAGTGTATTATAAATGTGGTGCTATAATTTGGGGGAAACAGTGCTATTTCCAATCCCATGATGCTACTTGAAAATACTGGGTAGAATCAGATTACAGACATTAAATTATTTGAAATAATATTTACAGGATGTGACCATATATGCTACACCAAGTTTAGTACCACCCATATCAGATCTAACCAAAATTGTTGCGACAGCTGGAGGTACAGTTGTCAAACGGCTGCCATCCATATCTTTACTACAGGAAAAAGATGATCAGGTGAGGGCTATTCCATTTAAATGTATGTTGGAGGTTAGGAAGGAAAGTTTAATTATTGAATGTGGGTCATGGGTCTTTTTTCAGTATGTTTTCTGTTACCATTAAGCAAAATTATCTAAAAAATGGTTCTTGGTTGTAAGTATATTTTGAAAGTCCCTTCCTATCCTACCACATACATTTTAATGGAATAGCCCTGAGTAGAGATGTACTATTAATTTAGAAATTACTGTGTGCGTTTATATTATTGCGATTTGACACAAATGGGAGTTGAATTATTGCAATTTCAAGAAATGCTACTAACAAAAATTGTTATCGCAGTTTAAAATGTGAGTCTTCATTTTTGCGATTTTATCTTGTTGAAATTTTTACAATGATAAAAACATCACAAAAATTTCTGAATTTACAATATTTTGTCCAATGCCAACTTTCCTACTATCTTTGCAATGCCCTAGACTCTAAAATATATATAATGTTGGGATTTGGTATGATTGCCAATGAGATAACTATCCACCAGTGACTAAAGGATGTTGATATAAACAACTATATGTTACTGTATAGCAAGAAACCATGAGCAAAACTCATACTATACAGTAAGCAATTTAAGACTAGAGCATGACAAAACCTGAGCAAATTCAAACAAGAAAACAAACTGTCTGATTTATAGGTAAACTTATGTTGATCAGTTTCTGTCACATTGATTTTTTGCCTATTTTTCGTGTTCTCTTGTGTGTCATTATTTTCTGCATTTCCACATGACCTCTTGTACTGGAAAAAAGAATATGACATACTTGTAATCAAAATCAATGCTAAAACAATAAACAAAAAACAAAAATAACAGACAACTACCAATGACAACCACTGAGTAACAGGCTCCTGAGTCCTAAATTTGGACAGGCACTTACAGATAATGGCAGGTAAAACCTCTTTGTGAGTGCTCTAAAGCTTGGTTTCAAATCATATGGTTTTGACTATTCCCTTTAAGTTTCTTGTTATATTGGTTATGGCATGCTTCCTCTTTTGCCGTTCACACATTTGGCTCTCTATGCTTCTGAGGACGTTATACCCAGAAAAGATTTTCAGATGCAACAATTTAATGTTCTACTTTGATGTCCCTTGTAGCTTTATTGAAAATACTGTCATGTCAAATTTATTTACTAATCCATAACTTGAAAATAATTGAAATTTGTTTAGAGTGTTAAAGGAGCTATTTAAGCAGCTTGTATAGTAATTGTTCAATCAAAAATTTCATCCGGTAAACTGAGAAAAGTTCTAGTGGAGAAACTAAGTTACAGTTAGGAAAAAGGATAGAACACAAACATGATTTAAAAATTAGCTCTTATGTAGTGTTAACTGATCTTGCTAGTCCTTTTTAGTCCCCTACCGACAAAGTTGAAGGGGACTTTAGGTTTGCACTCTGTCCGTCTGTCTGTCTGTCTGTCTGTTTGTCTGTCTGTTTGTCTGTCTGTAAATCCGTCAGTCCTGCAAATCAGTTTTCCACACTTTTTTTCATCATGCTTGAAGATATTAATTTGATATTTAGTATATAGTTTTATCAAGACAAGTTACAGATCAAGTTCGAATTTTGTTCGAGTTATGGTCCTTGGACTTCGAAAATTTACTCAAATAATCAGTTTTCCACACTTTTTTTCGTTATGCTTGAAGATATTGATTTGATAATTGGTATATAGTTTTATCTTGTTCAATTTTGTTTAACAATTTGTCAAGACAGGCTCATTGAGAGGTGTACATGCAATGTAGACATTATTTAGTTACTTATATTATGTATATGTTGATTTCTTAATATACTTTTTGGTTTATTGTGTTGTTAGTTTGTCGTCTCATTGATGAATACCCCACATTTTCAGTATTTTTGAATTGACTGTAAGATATATGCACAATAAATAATCTTTAATATTGATGTTATTCCAGGGAAATCCAACCCACATTGTAGTTACCTGTGAAGATGATGTTCCTATGTTGAGGAATGTTATTGCAAAGAAAATTAGTAAGTAGTTTAAACAATCCCAAAACATTGCATACAGCTTATCACTATTAAGTCCAATCGGGTAAATACTGTTACTTAGACAACCTCCTGTTGGGGTTAAATATTGCAAGAAATAAAGGACATCAGTAATGAGGGAGAAAAAAGTTTAGAAAGAGAACATTTTTTAAATTGATAGTTTATGAAGCAATTTGTCAAAGACCAATAAAAGTGATTAAAAATGGTTTGTTTGGAGTGTTGACAATGGTTTAAACATGATTCAATGAAAAGTTCTATGCACAAACCATTGTATAAACAGGGCCCTAGTTAGCTTCAACTGGTTTGCGACGTCATGAAAAAATTGTGTAATTTCATAACTTATAGGGGTTGAGATAAATGGCGAAAAGGTCTATTGTTTTTAAAGCAATTGCTTTAATGCTATGGCGTATAGCTATCTTTGTGACCCAGATCATGCCAAAGTTTTTGAGCAGATTCCTATTCTGTCATTCTAAAAATCTTTGTATGTTTTCTAATGAAATACATTAATTGAAACAGTTGAAAAACAACAGTGGGTTTGTGAAGTTTCAACATGTGTTCTTGTAGATGAATTTTTGTATTTAAGAGGACAACCGTTTGACTATCAAGGAACGTAGAAGTTCGAGTGAAAAGGTGCATTTTTATACCTGCAATTTCGTTCTTGAGATGTTTCAACAAAATATTGAATTATGTCAGTTGATGTTTTAATATTGAAAATTTGACAGAATTATCCCTTATAGGGTTTAATGTTATTTAATTCGTGTTTCTTTTTGAAAGAGGTCAAGTTATAGTAATGTAATCTTATCTCACATTGTTTGTTTTAAATTAAAAGGAGCACAGTTTATGCGTTCTGATTACACTTACCATGTTTTAAGGCCCCTACAGACGAAGCGAAGGGGACTTTAGGTTTGCACTCCGTCCGTCTGTCCATCTGTCCGTCTGTCCATCCGTCAGTCTGGCAAATCAGCTTTCCACACTTTTTTTCTTCATTCTTGAAGATATTGATTTGATATTTGGTATATAGTTTTATCATGACAAGTTATAGATCAAGTTCGAATTTTGTTCCGGTCTGATAATTTAGTCCAGAGTTATGAACCATAACTCTGGACCAGGCATGGGGTGAATTACATTACAATGTAATGCATTATATTACAATTACTTTGACCAAACCATGCATTATATTACAATTACAATTACATGCATTTATCAAAGTAATGCATTATATTACAGTTACTTTTGCAAAGTAATGCCTTGAATTACACATTACATTTGAAAATTTTATTAGTGAATAGAAAAATTAAACATTTTGAAAAACAACTAGAAGTCACAAAAGATTCTAGCATATGCAGTAACTGTTCCATGAATTGAATATAAGTATACATGTAAAAAGTCTATTTAATTTGACTTTTACAATTTTTAATTATTTTAACTTAATGTTGACTTTACTTTTATAAATATATTTTTTGTTGTTTTTTTTTAATTTTAAACGAAATATTTAATTACTGTGAATTACTTCCCTAATTCTAAAATAAAATAGACCTTAATTAATGAACAATTGTCTAAATGGTGAAAATATTGATTGTTAAACAAACTAATTAGTGTTTTATAACAAAGTTTAATTATCTTTTATTTAAGCAAATCAAAGTTATTCTTTGATCTTATGACAACAATACAGCTATGCTTTTCATATATATATCAATTTTTTTATGCAGGAAAATGTAAGAAATAAGATGAAATAAAGAATATATTCTAATGATTAATATATTCTTAGTTAATCAAGAAATCTTAAATTTGGTTTAGTTAAAACTCAAACAATATGTTAAAGATGTAGTATGTGAAAAAAGTAATGACATGTAATGCCATGTAATGCATGAAATTACACAACTTTTTGCTAAAGTAATGCATTATATTACAATTACATGTAATGCACAAATTGCTGCATTACACATTACATGCAATTACTTGGAAAAATGTAATGCATTACCATGCATTACAATTACAAATTTGCATTACCCCATGCCTGCTCTGGACCATATCTAATGTTAGAGTACTATGTTAAACCATATTTCTGTACAAAGGGAGATAACTCATTTTTTAAAAAACATTCTTTGTTAATTTATTTGAAAAATTTTTTGGCAGGTTTGTTTGTTATTTAGTATAAACTAATTTTCTAAATGCTATATATATAAAAAAAAATTATGAAGAGAAATCCTTTAATTAGATAATAATCTATTTTTATTAATGTATATATTTCAATACATTACATTGTGTAGATAAAAGTTGTTGACATTTTATAGATAAGTTACAAATCTATATTAGTTTGTGACAAATGAAAGAAAAAATATTTGGAACTACTGTAAATTCAGAAATTATTACGTGCATTTATTATTGCGATTTTGTAATTTTAGACTAAAATGCGATTTTAAATTTTTGCGATATTGAGAAAAATCCTGTTAAATTCATATAAAAAATTTCAAAATGCGAGTTCAAATTATTGCAATTATAACCCTGTCGCATTTTTCGCAATAATAAAAACATCGCAATAATTTCTGAATTTACAGTATTTATTATATTTGATTATAATTTGAAAATAGATATACACTGTATTACATCATATCTAATTTTAGAGAACTATTAATCATATCTAATGTTTTTTTTTCACTCATATAATCAGTTTTCCTCACTGATTTAGTCATGCTTGAAGATATTGACATGATATTCACTTTTTGATTAAACCATGACAAGTTGTAGAACAAGTTAGCATTTTGTTCCAGTAAAATGAATTTTTACCCGGTAGGGGACTATGTTTTGCCATGCAATACTCTCAGAATGCTTGTTAATATATACTTTTGTACTTCCTTGAAATTACGGACCCTGTTATTTATTATGGGTTTCCTTAATTGCTGATTGATACCGATAGACTCCACTCTGTAAACAAATGATATAATGATCAACTGATCAAGGTTACTTCTCGAGACAGTGTCAAATGTCATAATGACCCTCTATGAAATTGAAAATGATTACCTGTAATTCTGGGGAATTTAAAAAGTTTTATGTTTTTTTATTCTGAAGTTTGACGCCCTGTGCCCTTTTTAAGACGCCCTGCCCGATTTTGTGAATTTCTACACAAAATAATGATTGTTGCTGATTTTGAACTTTCCCAAGGGAGATAATCATGATCAACTAATCAAAATCTTTGTTTCTCGTGACATTGGCATTGCAAACATGCTAAATTTTGAACTTGTTTGGAAAATTTGAGTTGTAGTCCTCTGTCTGTATGTCAGAATTGTACAAATCGTGATCATGGTAGATGAAATTTTATCTGGAAGAAGGTTCTTACACAGCCTAAGAAGAAAAGCATGGCTGATGGACAAAATTCAAAGATACAGTACTACCATAAAACTTTTAAAGACGTTTGAAGGAAGACTTAGAAAAAGTAAAGAAACAAATAGGAGTTTGAATGACTCCTTTTGTACTACATGAGTGTTTTAAAAATATTTGATTTACAATCCTATGCAGAAAATCGTCAAACGTATTGAGGATGACTTCATGAAACTTTTAACTGAAAATTTCTTTATTTTAAAATCTGTTGCATTAAATTTTTTAAGTTATTATGTCATTATTAATGAAAGGGGTTTTATCCCGCAATCAGCCAACTATTGTACAAATAACAGGTACACAAATACATTTTTGCTTTATTTGTACTTGTACAAATAAAGTCTCCTGTTACCCCTCTTCCATGTTGAGCAAGCGGTAATGTGGATATTTCTTTTTGCGTACCAGTTCATTTTGGGGTCCTTTGCGGTCCGCGTTTAAATTATGTCGATTTCGTTGAAAATTAGAGAATGATTTAGATTTTAACAACTAAAGTTTCAAGTGTTGGGTTTAAATTTCAGGATAAAAACAATATATGTACATTGTCGGAAAATATGAAATTTATTTGTACTCGCTGCGAAACAGGAGAAAAGCTTGGCGAGCCTCGCTTTATGTCCTGTTTCTAAAGCTCATACAAATAAATTTTATATTTTCTGACAATATACATATATTGTATATAAGCGTTAGCCAGTTCCCAGGTTAATCGACAGTTAACGTGCATTTCATGAAAATTTCAGAAGCTATTCCCATCTTCAAATCTTTAATCGTTATGTGTGAATGATTCTTATTATAAAAAAACTATAGTTTGGTAGAACACTCGCGTCACGAAAGTTGAAGTCATCAACTGAATGGTTAAATTTAAACTAATTATGATATACTTAAAATTAAAATAGAAGCAATAAAGATAATGAAGCCAGGTGCGTGGATTGTCATGTAAATTATTGCCCAGTAATAAACACTCTACAAGGGGATAATCTGTTGTTTTTTTCAGGAGGTATACATTTCCACAAATATATTTGATTCCACCTTAAGGGCTATTCCATTAAAATGTATGTGGGAGGGTAGAAAGGGACTTTCAAAATATCCCTACAACCAAGAACCATTTTTTTAGATAATTTTGCATAATGGTAATAGATGCATACTGAAAAAAGACCCATGACCCGCATTCAATAATTAAACTTCCCTTCCTACCCTCCTACATACATTTTAATGGAATAGCCTAAGCCGAGTAAACGTCTCATTCCGGTGAGAAATGTAAAACATTTTAAAAATGCCTTTGCTGGATAAGTCTTTTATTGATATAAAGGTAAAACATCGTAACTTCTCACTAGAGATGAACGAACGGACGCACAGACCGAAAAACATAAAGCCCCTCTACTATCGTAGGTGGGGCATAATAAGTTGGTTTACAGTAGTTTGCTTCAGTACTAAAATCTCCAGTTAAATCTCTATAATATTGACCAGTATAATATTGTATTTGAGGATTAAAAATCAAATATGCAAATTTTGAATTAAAACTATTTGTAATATTTCTTGAAATACTTTCAGAAACAAGTATTAAAGAGAGCGTGGCAATGAAACAAGCATGAAATCTGATGTGAAAATATGCCTTCTTTGCAAATATTTTTTATTGGATATTGTAATTTTTCTTACATGAGTTCCTTGAAAATTAATGACCAATATGATTTTGTTATTAATCAGTAAGTTAGACTTACCTAAGTTTTGCTTTTCAAATGTTTTTCTAACCAGAAGATCTATTATTCAGTTTATTTTCATTCTTATTTTCAGCAATCCACAATGCAGAGTTTGTGCTGACTGGTGTAATGAGACAGACATTGGACTTTAAAGCTTTTGTGATAGATGTGCATTAATGTGAATTACATGTATGTTCCTAACAATCAGACATTCTAGTCTTCCAAAGCAGCATGTATATAACATTTTATATATTGTATCAAATATCAGAAAAAAGAAGAATACTCGTATATTTTGATACAGGGTGGTGAGGATGTTGATACCATTCTACACAGTAGGAAGTTGAGGACTATTCCATTACTAAATGCAAGGGGACATGAGCAGCACTTTTTTTTACTCCAAAAACCCTCATATAATATTTTCATTTTACCTATGAATCTTAAATACAAAATTCTAAGGGAAATGCAACCAACCACAAATAATTAATTTGAGTTCCTCCAACTATAACAAAATTTTGGCAGGATAAGAAAGAAAGTTCTTATTATATCTCTTTGTATTTACTCGATTGCAGGTCTTATTTTGACTACTGGTATGACTAATTACTTCTCATGCTCATTGTTAATTTACAGGACTGGGCTATGCAAACATCAATTTTTCAATAATTTATATTTTAGCTTTTATTAAATCATTGACAAAAACAACAGATTTGATTAACAACTAAAATTTAAACATCGTTCAGTGGTAATTGACATTTTTACATCACAATTCAATTTTTTTTAGGGCAAAGTCCATGATACTCACAATACTGTAATCACTAGCCAGTCAACACTGAGGTTGTGAGTTCGAACCCACTCGTGCGGGTGCACTTGACTCTAATCTTAATTGACTAGGATTGTCAGTTTTCCTATTGAAGGTCGGTGGTTTTCTCCAGGCACTCGAGCTTCCTCCACCAATAAAAACTGGCCGCCACGAAATAGCCCAAAAGCGGTGCTTAAAAGTGGCGTTAAAAACACAAAAGATAAAAAAATCAAATGATACTCACAAACATCCTCAAAAACCAATAAATGATCTGTTGTGTTGGTATTGCCAAAAATATCAAACTATACTACCATTTCAAATTTATTGCAAACCAAATGAAACATTTCCTCAGAATCATCTCCTCTTGGTCAAGGTATTTAAACTTTTGTCAGTTCTATTGTCCCATTGAATAAATACAATAGCTATTGTTCTCTGTGTAGTTTATTCACTGGTACATTTGGGACCTTTAAATTTCTTCTAAGAGAAATCCATCACTCATTGATTAATTTACCTGAGTAAAAAAATATCTTCTAAGTGGATGAAAATACATGTATCAACTCTCTAAACTGCATGTGATGTTGTATTTATTCAATATCAATAATATATTTTCAATATGTTCAATGTAAACACTTGATTCAAACATAAAAAGTTGATTTCTAACAAAAGTTTCAACATTGTTCATATTGAAATTTTTTTGTGTGTGTTTGACAAATAAAAACTGGAAAATGACGATGCTTAAATTAAGGCCTTCTTATATGTATTTTTTAACTAAACAAAAACAAAAAAAAAAAGCAAATTTCAATAAGAACAGAAATTAACTTGTTATGATTAAATCAGTGTTTTATCTTTATGTTTATATACAAAGAGGAGATGACTCTGTGGAAATGTTTCAATTGGTTCACAATAAAAAAAAAGTTGAGTTATGTCCCTCTAACTGTTTTCTATTTTTGAAGTATAGCACATTTTTAAGAGTACATTTCTTTTAAGTCTCAAATTAAGTTTAATAAAAAAAAATATATTTTGTCAGAAATTTAGACAGGTCTGATTTTTTTTTTTTTTTTGGTATTAAAATAGTACATTTTAATCTAGACCCATGCTAATGTATGAATATATGAAGATTGTTTGCTATTTTATCATAACAAGGCTTAATTTTGTTTTTGAAAATTTTTGAATTTTATTCATACATTTATTATTGCAAATCTTCAACAGGTGATAGTTGTATGAAATACATTATTATATATATGAATGTGATTCTTTTACCTTTTTCAGTGGTAGGATTTTTTTTTATTAAGTTTGTTCTCTTATATGTTTGCAGTAATCAAAACATGGCCTTGATTTCTGAATTTACAAAATGCAAAAAATTATTGTTCATCCAATCCTCAAAAGAGAGCTTCATAGTTAATATTTCATTTACCAAAACAATGTAAATTTGTTTTAAAAACGTTGGGATTTGTATAAAAGGAGTTACTCATCATTTAACTTTTTCTTTTTCATATTAAATTTCTTTCTGTGATGTAAAATATGAAGGCTTCATAGTTGTCTTTCATTTGATATGTATGATTTTTAAGTGTACATGTGTTGATTTTTAGATTATGTTAAAGATTTTGATTTTTTCTACTCTTGCATGAGAAGTAAGTGTATATTGATATAGTTGTTTTGCAAGAAAGATCCATAAAATTGATGCATTTTTGTTGGTTTATTTCAAGGTTGTATTATGTATTGTATATTATTTTCTTGACAAATCAAAACCTATCATTTAGGCCATATCAAAATTAATCTAAATACTTCATTTCACCTTTCTATGTGTTATTTACAACATGATAGATAAAAGGACCAAAAAATAAAATCAATATTCACAATGTAAAAATCAGTTATTTGAGATTTTCTTTTAAACTTCATACCATAAGTATATTTTTGAAGAATGATTATTTACACATCTGGCAAATTATAGTGATCAGTGTCTTAATTTTTAAGTTATTTTCTTCACATTGCCTCAATTTTGAATATATACATTTCATAAAGTCCTTGATAGTGAATTGTGGGCTCAAAAAAATTATTTGGCAAACATGCAAAATATTTATTATCCAGTGTAAACCTCATGATTTATTTTTCCGGCCATAAAATGCATTTTATTTATTCATTGTTCCCAATTGGAGAGGAATCAGCTGCAGTTGTGTTCATTAGAAAAAAGGGAAATAAATAACTCAGCCGTGCAGTATTTTATAGGTAGAATATCTTCTTTATTAGCCCTGGTATCTTCCTAAAACACTCTTATCAGACTGACAGCTCTGAGGAATTAATCTAGGGGTCTTGGGTATGAAAAACAGCATGGAATAATCTACTTATCACAAATAAAATCCAGTGGAGATGCTGTTTGGGCATGCCTTAAAAAAATATACAGGAAAGCATATTATGGATATCCGACAAAAACAGATATGATTTTAAATGTTGAATGATTAATATGACATGTACGAAGAGTGTTTTACGATATCAAAATTGAAGATTTAAAAAAAAAAGATAATTGAATTGTGATGCAAAATTAGTGTACCCAAATTAATTTGATGAGTCTATACTCATTCACACATTTAATTTAATTTGATGTGTCGTACCTTTTATTTGTTATCATTGGTGCTTCAAAACCAAACATTTGAATTCAGCAAAACAATGTCAAACACAGTATTGCATAATAACTGTCTCAGCTATTAACTCGTCATTTGTCCTTAGACCAAAATATTTAATCTCAAAGTTAATTCATATGAGATATTTGCTCTGTCCGAGTATTGGTTAGTGAATTTTTTATCACTCTCTTGTATATTTTATATATATGTATATGTATAATGAATACAGTTTTATAAATTACTTGAATACAAGAATATGTGTTAGTGCTATTTTGTGTTTACATGTTCTTTTCAGAGATAAAGAAAACTATCCTGTCTTTTTTCAGAGTTATGAATATGTTTCGCCATTACCTGTGTTCCTAAGCTTTGACCACATTGATTTATTTTGCTGGAACAAAGTTTCTTCTTTTGTAAATTCATAAGACCTGCATGAAGGATTCCCTTCAAAATTATTGGTTTTGGAAGCAGCCGATTTTCTGTGAATATATTTTTTGAAATTATGATTATTGACACCAAATATATAGCCATGCTAAAATAAATGTAAAAAGGCTTAAGACACATTTTGTTTACTCCCCAAAAAACTATATCATGTACATGTACTTTTAAATTAAAAACTTTACAAAAATAAAACTAAAATAGGCTTTTTTTAAAGTTGGTTTTCTTTAATGAAAGTGAAGTTATCTTTGTAGACATAAGCATTTGAATATAAATTTTCAGTTTCTAAATTATTTAATAACTTAATGATCTTCAATTAATGTTGACCTTTATTGGTTATGGTACTGTTTTTTTCCTTCCACCATTTCATGTGTTTTTCTGTTCAAATGTTCGATGAGGGTATTTTCTATTATTAAATCATGCACAAGCTGATACATGTATATATCAGTAATAATCTGCCTGTCAACACTGATGGTTCTAGTTCTAACCCCTCTCGTGGCTAGGTGCATTATGACTCTGATCATAATTGACACAGATTATCAGTTGTCCTTCCAAAGATCAGTGGTTCTCAACAGATACTACCGCTTCCTTCATCAATAAAAACCTTGATGTAAATGAAACTGACGTTTAACAATACCAAACAAACAAAAATTATGTCAGCAGCATCAAAACGGCCTAAGTTTTTGTCTCGCCTGTGATGAAAGTTGCGGAAAGCGAGACATAGTGATGACGGCGACGGCTAATATCAGTTTGACAACTATTTTGAGGCCCTGCCCCCTAGGACATGGTCCAGTGACTGAATAAATTAGCAATTTTCAATGTTAAGTTTTCTGCTTAAGTTAGTTTGATAGGATCTACTTGTGATAGATCAATGATATTTTGTATGAAGTCACATTACTATCAGTACATATCAGTTTGACAACTATTTTGAGGGCCTGCCCCCTAGGACATGGTACAGTGACTTTGAATTAATTAGCAATTTTCAATGTTAAGTTTTCTGCTTAAGTTAGTTTGATGGGATCTACTTGTGATAGATCAATGATATTTTGTATAAAGTTGCATTACTATCAGTACATATCAGTTTGACGACTATTTTGAGGCCCAGCCCCCTAGTACATGCTCCAGTGACTTTGAATTAATTAGCAATTTTCAATAATAAGTTTTTCTGCTTAAGTTATATTGATAGGAACTACTTACTTATGTTGGAGTATTTATACGTGGCATAACACTTCTAGGGCGAGCTTGAGCTGAACAGATGATTTAATCTCTACCAAAGACATGGAATTGTGATCTGGTAAACGTTAAATTGTTGGGCTACTTTAATTTGAGATTTTCCAACCTATAGATTGCCGATAACGTTGTTTCGTAAAGCAGGCATACATCTTGACATACCAGCATTTCACATTGTCAGTTGAACACTTAAGTGTTATACACGATAGTTGCTAGTGAAATTCATGAACAATTTATTCAACATGGTAATTAGAACCTTCGTTTTTCAGGTCTTGAAAATAGACTTGATGAGTTTGTACTGGCACTTTGAATTTTAAATACACATAAAGTTACTAATTGCTTAAAGGTTTAAATATCTAATATTCATTTGATATTGTCAACTTTTTTAAAAAAATGAATCTGACATATACGTTTCTTTTTTTATATTCTAATTTACGTCACCATTTATATTCTAAAGATTCTGGCAAAGAAAAGCTGCATCAATAAAAAATTATGAAAATAATAGTTAAAGTACAAGGATCCTTCCGGTTTTAAGTTGTTCAAATATTTTCGATCTAGTTCTTGACTTGATTTACTAGACTTATAATATTTTCAATATTTTCTTATCTCATTAAAGACAGTCATTTGCATTTAGTTGGCGTACAGAATATTTCATTCATAATCAGTCGCAATTCGATTTATATCCGTGATAGGGGCAACTTTGTCATAGATATGGTATTGGACAGATGGCTTGACAGTTTGGCACTCTAAATATAAAAGCAGTGTTCTAAAGCAAAACTAATGTGTATACTAGCTGAATCTATATAATGATTCATTTATTTGCCTACACATTTGAACCATGTTATGACAATAAAAATATATACACAAAACGTGAAATTTTACAACAGGAAACAATGTATACATGTGACAAATAAGATTAGAAAACTATGGATAAGGTGACAATTAATTTACAACAAAAGGTTAACAAATAATAGAATTGTTTATTTGTTAAAATTAATTTCTGTCGATATTTTTCAATTGATTATCAAGTTTCTAAATTAAGACCAAGATCAATGATTTCTTGGCACGTAATAGTTGTGGTTGCAGCCCTTTAATTATTTATGAAACTTTCCCTGCTTAATCATATACTTGTACAGTCCGTACAGCCACAAGTTTGTATACAGTTTCGTACAGAAAAATTACCTTTACGCCCGGGTTTATGTATTAGGTCCGAAAGAATAAAAGGTGTGATGAATGTTTAAATGCTGGAGGGTTATGCAAATAGGTTTTAGTGTCAAAATGTAATAATAGATTAGGCGCATAGAGAACCATTCGTCCATTTAATTCTGCATTGATATCATTTAACTGATATATTTATTTGACTTGTTTCAGTTTACAAATGATGAAATTGCACTTAAACTAATATCATAACTCCTGCAGACAATGTTTGCCAAGATACTTTTTTCCTAGACTGTAAAGGCACATGTGGTTTGAAGTTTAAAAACGTGTTGTGGTTTTTAGCTAATGGTTTTGAGCATGCCTAGGTTCTCCTAGAAATAACTGTCAGGTGAACTGGTATCGGTATTATTATTATTTTTTATTAGTTCTGGACACTCAAGTATATTCAGAAAACCATTTTAAGAAACGAATTATACAGTACGTTCTGAATTAGCCTCATGAGGAAACTGGGGAATTCCAATTGCATGCAATACTTAAACAAACCAATTCATTCTAACAATAGTGATGAATAAGGAAATTCCTTTTAATCTTATGATCACTTATGTTATCCTATTATTAGTCCATTATATTTATTGATATATAAGAAACTAGAATTGTTGTTCTATAAACCCGTCTAGAAAGTGAATTGGTATAGAAATATCTAAAAGAATATGAATATATCACAGTCTATTTATGCCGTTTCTTTGATTGTCATTATCAAGTTTTACGGTAAGCTTTTATTGGGTTTTATCAGCATTTGATATTTCCTGTTTTGGGATAGTTTTGAGATTAACAAAATGTCTCACCCAATACGAGTTTTATATGGCTTATGAATGTTCTAGCGATAAACAACGTAATTTTTAAAAGCTCAAAAGTGTTTACTTAATTTGATTTAAGGTCGGAGAAAAATAGTAATTTGCGTATGTGAACATTTAATAGTTTTCAATAATAATTTATTCCAAAAGCAATTTTCTGTAAACTAGGACTTTTTGAATTGTGTAAACCATGTACAAAAATTCTTCTTATGAACACTCTATAAAGAACCGACTACAACATATAGACCAAAGCAAAATTTCGATACCCCTTATTTACCTCTGTCAACAGGGGACAACTTGCCGTATAAAGACCAGTTTACAAAATAATTCAGTAAAATCGTAGACAGTTAATGAAAATACCTATGTCGGTCAAAATTATTTCAAACTATAGGAAGCCAAAATTTTAAACAAACTCAAAGTAGTATTACTTTTGAACAGATCACATTCAAAACATGCTTGTACTAGGATGTAAAGGTGAACAGTGGAGAAGTTACTAGCTTGTCATTAGGCGTTTGGATCTTGTCCAGAAAGTATGGCGTAGATCAAGACCCAAAAACTATGATGTACTATAGATACGTATTATTGTGGAATTGGAACAAATACGTTTGCTATATAATTCATGTTCATCCTATATCTTTCTTTATTCTTTTATATTCAAATAATTTAAATATGTGTCAAGTATGATTGCAAAAACATTGCACAAATGAGGGATAAATCAGTGATTAAAATAATATTTTAATACCCGCTTCCACTTTAACCAACTATTCCCGTGAACAAATGTATAAATTTCATTTTACATACATTTTCGAAAAAAAAAATTCCTTCGTTTTAAAAATAAGAGAAGTTGAATGTTCATATTTAAGTAGGCCGTCGTGATTGCATGTAGGCCATTTTTAGACTAAGGATGATTGATTAGCTTGACACACTTGTTTATTGGTGACGACCGTATGTTGACATCCAGACGTCGTTTCTTTTGTTTATGTAATTTAGGTAGGGATATGATAACATTGGTCTTTCAGAACTGGTTTCAGCTTATATAAACAAACGTATATTCGTGACTCGCCTGTACTAAGTCAGGAATATGACAGTTGTTTTCCATTCGCATGATTCGTTTGAGCTGTTGATTTTGCCATTTGATAAAGGACTTTCAGTTCAGAGTGCTGATAAGCGCACCTGGTGATTAGAATTGGTACCGTCAATATTACAATTATTCAGAGAACTTTTGCATAAATCATATCTTAAATTAAAAACCAAGATAAATCATAAAAGACTAAAAACTATTTTAATGTACTAAATCTCTATACAAAATATAAACTAAACAGCTTTAAAATTAACTTATTGATTTTGAATTTCTTTATAGCGGTATATTCCATTACAGTCGTCATAAATAAAAACATATCCGGAGTAATTGGAGAAGGCGGTACACGAATACAGTGCTCATACACAAGACACAATGCGACTAAAATTTTTGCAATCGAGTTAAAAGCTAACAACAACACATCTGTAACATTCTTACCTGACGAGAAACCAAGATTGACAACAAAGGGACAGTATTTGGAAGGAAGAGTAACACTGATGAATATAAGTAAAGTGTCTACAGAAGCTGTCATGATATTCGATAGACTAACCTGCGATGATCAAATGAGCTATAGTTGTTCCCTTGTTTATCTTGACCAAAACGGTAGAACAGAAGAACGTAGTTCAGGAACGACAACCATTACTGTTAAAGGTAATAGTGTTAAGAACTTTAAACGACGAAAAGTACAAATCAATTAGATAGAATAAACATCTTTAAAAATCGTACTATTTGAAATATAGGATCGAAAAATTGCCATTTATCATCATCCTTAGTATAAGATTCCTGATCCATTATTAACCTGTCGGATCAACGCCGCTCGATCAAAATGTATGTAAATGGATCAGAAAGTAAAACAACTGCTTTCGTAGTTTATAATATATATATGCATGCTAATATAAAATAAACTACTTGATCACAACATCATTATTGTTGCGTTGTCTAAAAGCTCTCACTATTAATACAAAATAACTTGGTTATAACCAAAATATACTGAAACGCCTACCAAGACACGAATTATCTGCATAAGTCTCATCAGTGTCGCTTGAATTAAAACAGGTAAATGACAAATCAGTTACGTTTGGAGGACGTGTTTTTCAACAGACTGTCGGAATTCCAATGGGAACCAATTATGCCCCTCTTCTTGCCGACTTGTTTCTTTATTATTATGAGACTGACTTCATACAGGAACTTCTTAGGAAGAAAGATAAGAAGTTAGCAACATCCTTTAACTTTACATTCCGCTATATAGATGATGTTCTCTCACTGAATAATACAAAATTTGGTGACTATGTTGAACAAATCTATCCCATCGAACTAGAGATAAAGGATACTACAGATAAAGTTAAGTCTGCCTCATATTTTGACTTACATCTAGAAATTGACAATGAGGGTCGGTTGAAAACAAAACTTTACGACAAAAGAGATGATTTCAGCTTCCCAATTGTGAACTTTCCATTTCTATGTAGCAACATTCCAGCAGCGCCTGCATACGGAGTATATATCTCCCAACTGATACGATATTCCCGGGCTTGTATTTCCTATCATGATTTCCTTGATAGAGGATTGCTGCTCACAAGGAAGCTATTAAACCAAGAGTTCCAAATGGTGAAAATTATATCGGATATGTTCCTTATGTCGTAACTACAATACCCTTCCCTTTTCACGAATGTGACCTACCGAATTAGACTATTTACCGGATTTGTAATAACATAAGCAACACGACGGGTGCCACATGTGGAGCAGGATCTGCTTTCCCTTCTGGAGCACCTGAGATCACCTCCAGTTTTTGGTGGGGTTCGTGTTGCTTAGTCTTTAGTTTTCTATGTTGTGTCATCTGTACTATTATTTGTCTGTTTGTCTTTTTATTTTTGGCCATGGCGTTGTCAGTTTGTTTTCGATCTATGAGTTTGACTGTCCCTCTGGTATCTTTCGTCCCTCTTTTTGAAGAGCAGTGAAAACAGATATCCTACAAATTGTCCGAATTGATTTATCATTGCCTGAAAAGGAACCGATCTTAATAGACAGTATATATTCAAGGACAATAAACATGTTTATGTATGTGGTAGCTGTTATAAGGTGAAGGAACAAAACAATGCTTCCAAAACAACATTCATCTCTCTTGTTTGTAAAGAAAAAGATATTATATGATATTAATTTTGATATGTTAAACAAGAAATTATTTTACACGATTTGACTATCACACGAAAATATGGCACTAACACAAATAAGGCCTTATAAAAGATCCTGATATGAATTTTGTAAACGTACTCCTACTTTTGTAGGGTTAACATTTTTTAATCCATCCGTCATATGTCCAGCTCATACAAGTTAAATATGTAATCAAAATGTTTATATGTTTTTGCAGTTCCACCATCAAAACCTGAATACGTAGCGATTGTAGATTTATTAGAAGATGAATCAACAACTGTATTGCAGATTCAAAATACATCTTCGCCTCCAAATTTTACTAAGAGATCTACTACTAAACAATCTACAACCTCATCCATTATGAAAGAAGGAGAAATCATTACATGTGTCTGTGCCGGAAATGTTGGAAAGCCTCCAGGAAAATTTATATGGCAAAAATATCGACATGGAGAAAAAGTTCCAATGAACTACACAAATACTACTACAATAACGATTTCAGTTACGGACAAGTGCTCCTACTATGGTACCAGTTACCTTCAGCTCCGAGTAACTGCTTCGGATAACCAAGCAATCATTCGGTGTTTCATTGATTCGCCTTTGGCAAAACCATATATGTATGTGGAAATGAAACCGATAGACGTTATGTGTAAGTATTTGTCTAATTTCATGGCGTTTATGATTTGAGATTACAAGTAACAGAATGTATATTGCAAACATTATAAAAAACATTTACATGTCAGCTATAGATAATAAGATAATCAGATGTCACTATCATGACTATTGACAAGGTTAGTTTTGAAACTTGTTTCTAAAATTATTATTCAAAACCAAACAAAATTTTTAGAAGGACATGCTTTTTGGTCCGATAATCAGAGAAAGCCAGGTATTGGTATTTGCTACTTCTGCTTATGAAGGATTAGGAACTATTCAGATGGGTGGGATTTTAACTGAAAAAAAATATGTCTCGGTATTCGAACATCTTTTTCAGAATACTGTTTCTTTGTAACAGAGCACGGTAATAATCTGAGTTAATCTAAAAAAAAAAAAAAAATATGCAAATTTGTTCTACATGTCACATATGGAGCAGTATCTGTGGAAACTTTCAGAGCACTTGATATCGTATTACTCATTCTTCATTTAGTTTTGTGTTGTGTTTTGTACACTGTTGTTTGTCTTTTGTGTGCTTTTTGTCTCGCCTTGACGGAGTCAAAAAGCGAGACATAGGTATGCTGTTTCCGGCGTCGGCGACGACGACGACGACGGCGGCGGCGGCGGCGGCGGCGTCAACAATGTATTAGTTTGTGATTAGGTCTAGTTTATGGCGAACCACAAATGGTAGGTAAATGATATTTTGTATGCAGTTGTATAAGCATTGGCATTTCTCATTTTCAAGGAGATTATTTGGCTCCTTTTCCTTAGTCATGGTCTATTGACTTTGAAAATTTTGTTTAGTTTACATGTATTAGTTTGTGATTAGGTCAGTTCAAGGGGAACCATTAGTGGTAGGCCAATGTTAATTGGTATTCAGTTGTATAAGCATTAGCACATCTCATTTCTATTGACTTTGAAATATTTGCTTAGTTTATATGTATTAGTTTGTGATTAGATCAGTTTAAGATGAACTGCTAATGTTATGTCAATGATATTTGGTATGCAAATTTATTGGCATTTGCAAGTCTTATTTCCATGGAGATTATAAAGCCCCACCCCCTCATCATGGTTCATTGACTTTGAAACTGTTACATAGTTTACAAGTTAATGTTTGTGTTTAGGTTTGTTTAAAGGGAACGACTTATGATTAGTCAATGGTATTTGGTATGCAGTTGTATTAACATTGGCACATCTCATTTCCATGGAGATTGTTCAGCCATGTACCTTCAGTCATGGTTCATCAACTCTGAATATTTGCATAACTTACATGTTTAAGTATTGCTATTTTAATTTCAACATTGGCATTATCAAAATTACAAAAAGGCGAGACATATCTCTGTGATAACAGTTTATTTTTTAAGTGACGATGAAGTTAGTTTGTCTGCGACTTATAAGATTGAATATCCCTTTGGTATTTTCCAACTCTATTTAAAAATAATCTGGCTTAATCTATCATAAATCAAGGAAATGCATATACTTCTTATTGTCATACATATGAATATTAATCACCTATCAATCTAATTTTTATTTGACAGCTATCCATAATGATACGACCACGGAGTCTTTACTAACGTTAACGACCATGAGCAATAATTTCACTGTTTCAGACGCAGCAGCAGAATCACACGGTGGATACATCGGTAATATTTGAATAAGTTTTGGCAAAAAAAAAAAAAATAATATTTCAATTAGAATAGTTTAGCAAGGAGGATTTTGTAGTAAAACGAAAATATAGGACAAAAGATAGATATATGTAAAATATGCCATCTTGAATTACATTTGACTTCAACATCAACATACAGCATTAGATTACAGACCTGGGGTCAATTACATGCCAACGTAAATAATAACATTATATTGATTTTTAAATGTAATTAATTACATCACAATTACATTGATTTTCAAATGTAATTAATTACATTACAATTACATTGCCAATGTAATTAATTACATTTCAATTAGTTTTATCCAAAGACATGTAAGATTGATTGATTGATTGTTGGTTGATTAACGTCCAGTGGCAAGACATGTAAGAGCTATATCATTTAGAATAAAATCATAAAAATGACAACAGGCTAGAATAGGATGAAACTTTTCTATATATGTATATATATGCACTTTTTAACAGTGCAAACATTTGAACAAGAATTGATTAAAAATTTGCTTATATAATTTCTGATGTCATTGTTACAATTAATCACCATTAGAATTCCAATGCTGATTATTTGAATGCAATTCTTTTTTTATAGGATAACAATTTATAAAGAAGTATATATAGATCCAGATTAATCTATTTTTTATTTTAAAACAAAATCTTAAAATTTAAAGTTTCTACTAAAAATGTTAATTTAGATTTTTAAGGTTTTCTTATATGTAACTCATGTGGAATTTGATTTAACTTAAACACTTTCATTTATTACAGAAAGGTAATCATTAAATCAATATTATTAAAACATGTACAGTTTGATTCAATTTCAAGTGAAAAGTTAACTCTCATATTAACGGATGTTAAACACTTACAATTAGATGATCTTGACATAATAAATTCCTTGCACATGACTCAAAATAAAACATTACCAAAGTTGGATATTTGTAACTTCTATGCATATATATCGTTCGCAAAAAAGGAATATATAATTAATTTCTAATTGCTGACAGTGGCCATATGGTGTCGTCAAATTCATTTATTTTCCCCCCTCCAAAAAAGTTATGTAAAAGTTCTTATATAAATGAACATTTGTTCACATACTATTTACTAAAATTTTGAAGTATGATGACTTTTTTTTTGTTTCTTTATCATACCAATATACAAATGATATAGTTTGTTTTGTTAATTCATATTTGTTATCTTATCTTTTTGTAGATCTTGGTATTGTTATTGGTGTGTTGGCTTTGGTTATATTGAATGCATATGTAATTTATTTATTTAAAAGAAAACAAAGAGAGTAAGTATATTTGATTATATGTAGATACATGTATAAGTGGTTTAACGTGGATGACAATCTAATTAAAATACAGATCATGTGTCTAAGCTTTGATTACAAGGATCTGACAATACTCCATTTTACTTTCGGTTCTGGTAATTATCATATCAGCCAATGAAATTTCAGTCTTCAATTTTTGAAGGTGTGAATCAATCCGACAAAACCAGAGAATCACAAATGGTCTGTAGAACAGAAAGTTGTATGGAGTGTTTTCAGATCCTTATTAGCTAAGCTTGGACACACAGGATATGTATTTCAATCAGATTGAGTTGACGAATAACTGAAAGCAGCCAATTAAATTCTAGGAAATAACGAAACTTTTTAAGTCCAGCTCTTACATTACTGTTTGTTATCAGGACATTGTAGTCTTTTCAGGAAATATGTTTGGAAAACAAATAATACGATTCACTTTGAATTGTTTGAATTGCCGCGTATGTCTCTTCTTAAAATAAAACAATAAATAGAAATAAGAAATAAGTACAAATGTTTCTATAAATACAAAACTAATATAAACGAGAACATATGTTACCGAATATCGATAAACGATTGTATCAACATTTAAATTCATTAAGTTGGTTTAAAGATATAGAAATGTATAGCGACAAACCAAAATTGATGGTAAAAAACGATTTTAAGCTATTTTAGACTGAATATATTATTCAATTTGAATTGATAACGTTTGGAATTGTCTCTCAGGGAGAAATATAGTCATACAAGATGATACCAATCGCCTTCATATTTTGCAAGGTAACTTTCAATTTGTACACTGGATCATATGTTCAATTTTTATACTTAAACACATAAACACATACTTTTTTCAGGAGAAGTTATGCAGTGCAGAGAGAATCGATGAACAGCAATTTGAGCAATAGAGACCCACCCATACAACAGAGAGGTCACTGTGAAATCATTGCGATGACTGATGATATTGGCAAAGAGACATCAGTGGGTGCTGACGTAAATATTGAAGATACAAGATTGCATAACAATGAAAATCTGACAAGACACGAAGAAAATGAGGACAACCAAACCCCGACGTATGTATTGGAACTTGGTTCTGTACTATATGTTTTTGTCCACTGACATAAGACAATAACAATTTGTCGTCTTTGTGCTGGAAGAGTACACCAGTCAAACCCGTTTGTTTCTAACGACCTTGTATGCTATTATCCTTGTTGATCAATCAGAATTCATTTATCAATTTTCCGCTTTCCGTTGGCAAAAACCATTACAACAACCATGTTTGCATACGAAAAACAAACTTTTTGCCTGATGATTTCAATCTGTGAATCATCTATGACATCCGTAGTTTTGAAATTTAATTTGTATGAATTCATGATAAAAAATGAAAACAACACGTTTTAAATTTCATGCTTCCGAAGCGCTTTTCTGGATTTACCTTCACCAGGAACGCTCAATGCCAAACATTTGAAAGCCAATGATGTATAAGGACCGACACAGTTGAAGAGCTATTCGACCAAAAAGAACATGGAAATAGCTTAATCCATCTAAGGACAACTCTGCCTGAAGAAGTTAAAACCTTAGTTTCTAAATAATTACAAAATTTATAAACGGACAATTTAAGAAAGGTTTGTTATAAATATGTCAGTACCGAAGTACTGACTACTGAGCTGATGATACCCTCGGGAACTGATAGTCCAAATGCAGAGGTATCGGCCCAGTGCTATAAAAATGAGAACAACACGTTATAACTTTCGTGTGTCCGACGCGCTTTTCTAGATTTCTGGATTTACCTTCATCAAGAACGCTCAACCGAAACAGTTGAAGAGCTATACGACCAAAAAAGACATACAAAATAGCCAAATCCATCTAAGATAACTTGAATACGTAATGAATTGTTTGGGATGTTCAAGACTGGCAAAGGTAACATTAAATACATTGTTCCATTTGGTAAACAAATCTGTTGAATGTTACCCTGATCCTTAAATATTCCACATTCAATTTTAACAAATTGTACCATTTCTGGCGAAAAAGTCTGTTGAAATATGGAATCAAATTGACTTAAATCGTCAAGACAACCATGATGTTATAAAATTTTAATATTGAAGATAGCAACAATGATAGCTACTACAGCTTGACATACTGACACAAGGTAAACAAATAGATATTATAGATATTATGCGACGTCGATAATGTGGACTCTCTTATTTTCCGTGGGTATAAATTTCCGTGGGTATAAATTTTCGTGAATTGCGGAATTTCGGTGATATCTAACTTCTTGGTTTTGCCAAAGTATGAAATACTTTCCAATCGAGTAGTTGTAATTCGTCGAAAATATAAATTCGTGATTCACCTGTAACCATGAATTCCACGAAAATTTGTATGCAATGAATACTATAGAATCCATAGTAGTTGACTGTTTTTTTCATCGGACAAATTCTGATGCTAAACGTGCTGCCAGGTAAAAACGTTATATAGTCTCAGCATTTTGCATCAATCTGAAAGCCGAAAACGTACTTTCCTATCATGCATTATATTTCAACACATTTCTGAATTAGTTTATTGTACTTTTTACAACAAACCGATTTGTTCATTGATGATATTATCTTTTGGCAGCAATATATCTCCTGAACAAACAGATCGTATAAATGCTCAAGTGAAAGAAACAGGCAAATCTCAGATTCCAAACAGAGACCACAAAGACAAGAGCAGAGAAAGAATATACACAAAGAATCACAGTAAAGAACAGAACAAGATAACAGAAAATGTCAAGAAGGAAACTAGCTTGTAAGTGTGATAAAATTATTTTGAAAATTAATTCTAATACACAGAGATGAAACCACTGTTTCAGAATTTGCGTGATTTTCTTTTTCTAATTCATTGGCAATTTAATCCTTGTCGGACCCATCGTATAAAAAATTATATAACGTGAGGTTGCCGATGATCTCAGAAGATGATTGGAGAAGTTTAAGTATCATAACCTTTATCAGCTCACTGGATGCATCAAAATGTGCTAACAGGTGATAATGAAATTGACAACTTTGTGGAATGTGGAAGGCACTCGAAAACGGTTTTCTCTTATCAAAAATGAAAATTTATTTGATAATCATTATAAGAACAGATTCTTAAATAATTACTCGTGGATTATCGGATTTATCCAAACTCGATAGTTAATAATTAATTGTAAAGTCCTCGCCGACGCTCGGACTTTAAAATTCGATAAGTTAACTATCTAGATTGGATAAATCCGAGAATCCACAGAATCTATTAAAATGCATGTCGTGGTTAAATCAAATGAAATTGCACGAATCAACATTTTCCTTGGGATTTTGTAAACATACATAAATAGGAAATATAAAAGTTACAAGTAGTTATAATTCGAATAATCTAAAACGTCCAAAATAACATTAGAGATAACCCTGAAAAAGTTGAATCCTACTGTTGTATCACAGTCTTAGAAGCGAAAACAAAATCGATGAGGAGAAACAACACGATATTAAATGTATATTAAAGAGCATGCACGACAAAGTGTTATGGATAAACTGTCTAACTGAATCAATTTATTAAGAATAAGTTTAAGTTTTCTTAAAACGGGTCATGGTTTACCTATAAGTTTAAACTCCTCATGTTTCTAAATGTGCAAAATTATAAATCCCTTGCAATTACTTTTCCATCAAAACAAAATAACTTTAACGTGTCTGTCCATTGCCTTTGCCGTTTTTCATTGTCCTATTTATCTTATCTATCACAAAACAATTAAAGGTCATGTAGTCACAATTTTAGTATAATGGTCACGTCACATTAAAAATTCCAAAAATTAATTGAATCTGCATCAACTGTAAAAGTGGTGAGGGCATGTTTTCTTTTATTACAGGTGTGCTTTTTACAGGGAAGCTATTAAACTTTACAAGTGATATTATCAACATACATTTTATTTCTTGACCTTTTACTTGGTACCGGGCGTATTAGCTTAATGTTTGCCGGAAACAACTATTGTTTGCGTTAAAACCCCTAATTACTGAATAAAAATTGTTAAAACATGATTTTTTTTACTCTTACCCTGATAAATATTTTAATATTGTAGGTAACAGGAAAGTGACGACATGCAGAACAATATTCAAAACAAAACTTTCCCAAACAGGACTTTTGAAGATTGAATGTGCTCACCCACAAAAAAGAATACATACGCCACCATCTTTTTTATCAACTGTAGTATACTAGTATTCAGCAGAAAGGCTTCCAAATTATAGAAAATAAACCAACACAGCTCAAATATTAGCTTTGCATGCTATTTCTAAAAAAACATTTTAAAGGGTTTGAATCAACGATTTTGTTAAACAAACCCTCCGAGTGTACTTTTTTAATAAAAGGTCAAGATTGATACAAATGATACTTGGATTAAAAAGCCTTGCAATCCACATAGAATTAAATGTGTTTTCTTTTCTTTAATATCAAATATTTTAAGATGGTTTAACGTTGAGTATAAATATTAATCACGACCTTATCTTTGAATTAGGCATGTTAGATGTATGTCTGCTTTTTAATTCACCTTGCGTTGTTTTGACATTAATTTAAAATTTGATTAGAGAATAAGATGACAAACATTGGCAAATAAAAAAGTCAATATTTTGATTCATTTTGTAATAATATTAACAATACGAATTTTAATGCACCAGATACGCATTTGGACAATGTATGTCTCTACAGTGATGCTCGAGGCCGAAATATTTATAAATATACATTACAGATCTTAAAAAGTTGAAAAATATGATAGGTTCGTGACTTTGTTTTTTTAGATACATTGTATAATCAATTGAAAATTTGGCGCGAAATGATTTTCTCTAGTTTTTCATACGTTTAACATTGCCACCTGTTTTTATTAACCAGCAATTATAATAGATTTTTCATACAGTTGACATTGCATCCTTTGTTTTTTGTTAACCAGCAATGTTACCAAGCTATCATTTATTTTGCTTTTTAAGTTCCGTTATTTATATACTATCAATTCATAACAGCCTTTTAAAAAGTTTGTTATTTTGAAACAGAGGAGCGAACATCCTTAACAAATATAAGTTCAATATTCGAACTAACGAACGATCTGTTGAACAAATGTTGAATGAGTGACCATTTGTCAGTTTCTACGCAGCACTTCACATTTTTACTCATTACTGATAATCAACACGACCAAAATCATTTAAAAAAGGTTTCATTTGGGATTTATCAGTTTTCCCTTTCTTAATCCCTGTCAACCCCTTATTATTTAAAAAAAATTGATAGATGTTAATTTATATTTTGGTTTTTATTATCTATTTGATTATCAATGTTAGTTTTGGTTGGTGGACATCTGTATTTCTGATAAGTTATGTTGCATAAACTTCATTCAATATTTGTATTTCTTTGTATAGTCTTAGTTAACCCCTTCCTATGTCAAATTATTGAATTATTTAATATGTTAATATTGTTTTTATGTTTTTCAGTCATAATTATATTGTTGTACAAAATTATAAATATTGTTTATTTTATATGATTATTTTTACTATGAATAAGTTAAAATGTCACAAGTTACTTTTTGTTTCTCCATTCTTTATACATTGCTCAAGATAATGTCAAAAAGAGATTATTGATGAATTTAGACAAATACATGTTGAACCTCCGGTTGTTTGTTTTTTTTTATTTTTTTATCTAAAATCTGATTTATTGCACTATTGCTGTTATAATGTCTACAGCATTTGACAGGGCACCCCTGTAGGATTAGTTTTACTGAACAAACAGGGAGATTGCTCAGTACATTAATAATAATAAATTGTTAGATTTACATTCTATGTATCAATACAACAGATTACTTCAGAAATTAATTTCCGGAAAAATTACAATCGTGGACCGCTTTGACTCTGTATATGTTAGTTGACCTGGTCATGACCTGTTGATCAACGATCATACGATGGAGGCAAGCTAACTGGCGAAGCTGCTTGTACTTATTATTAATTATGTAGGTATACATACTTGGTTGCGAATTGATGTGTTTATATCAGTTTAGTTATTTGTGAATATATGATTTAAAAAAGAAGTAAGGCTGCTTTTAGGATAATTGGGGTTTAATGTTTTATCACTGATCATGATCATGACGAAGTCCACAACACGTGGTCTAAAGATTAAATAATGATGAGACACATGTATTGCTGAATAAATATAGCATATAACATATATGCATAAAATAATAATTATATGTACAAGCTTATTTCTTTCAAAATGTTACCATGTTTAACTCCTGTTAGTGTCGAAATATTTAAATAGTTCAAAAAATCTTTTTTGAACAGGGCATATACATCAAGATTTGTAGTTTTATAATTTGAAATGTGAGTACACTTGTGAATGGAAAATGTAATGAGTGTTACCAAAAGATTTATGTCATGATAATTGATGTCCCAGATTTTATATCCTACTATGAGATTTCTGTAGTTTAGGATATGATGACCAATTTTAACTTTATTTAATAGTATTTTGATCTTTTCCCAAAAAGCTTCAAAGTATTGACATTCCAGAAAAAAATGTTTATAATCTTCTGTTTCATTACATAAGTCACATTTACTGTCTTCTTTTATCTTCCATTGAAAGAGCAGTTGTTTACAAGGAAGGATATGATGCAACAATTTCCATTTAAATAGTTTTAATCTGTTATCTTTTAAATAAGTAAATACGAAATTTAGCATTGATTTAATTGGGATTAAAGAATCTAAATTTAGTACACGTTTCCATTTTAAGAAACCTGAAGGTATGTCTTCATTTCTACTATTAATGTGTGTGTATATCTGTTTTGTTTCCATTGCTTGTAAATTTGTCATCTTATTTTTTTCTTTTGTCTTAATACAAAGGTTAAGTTTATTTTTTACTTTTGATTTTATTGATTGATCTGATTTAAGTGTCTTGAGCCATTCATTTGGTATAGCATATTTAATTTTTGAAATTTCAAACATTAAATTGGATTTTGAGGGTATTTTATTAGATATTATATCTTGAGAGATGTTACCATTCTGGTCAATAAGATCATTAACATACATAATACCTTCTTTTATCCATTTTATAAAAATTAAACACTTTCCTTGAAACTTTATCATTTTATTTCCCCATAAGATTTGTTGTCTAATGTTTTTAAAATTCATCGTGAGTTTGGTGTTATTTAAATTTTGTACTTTGAACCAGGATTTTACAATTTCTAAGTAGAATTTTGGTAAAGTTTTATGTAGGTTTTGTATGGAGTAAATGTTATCTGGATTCATGTAAAGTAACATGAAATTAGCACCAAATTTATTGAAGTAAAATGTCGGAATCACTTTCCAGTTAGCAAAATTATCTGCAGTTAGTCTTTTAATCCATGCTATTTGTAGTGCAGTTATATAATTGTCTATATCTGTCATCTTAAGACCTCCATCAGTAGTATCTTTACTTAATATGGTTCGTTTTACTTTTTCTTTTTTACCATCCCATATAAAATTATAAATAAGGGTTTTAAACTGTTGAATAAATTCATGTGGTAGGTTTGTGACTGAAGCCAAATATGTAAGGTTTGGTATAAGAAGAGATTTTACAATTGTTATTTTACCTATCATTGAAAGATTTCTTTTTTTCCAATTACTTATTAATTTATCACATTTTTGTATTATTTTTTCAGTATTAAGCTTATCACATTCAGCTCGATTTGTTCCAAAATAAACTCCTAGACTTTTTATTGGTCCTTTATTCCATTTTATGTTTTCAAACTTATCTTTACAGTGTTTTAATTTTCCTAACCAAATGCCCTCTGTTTTTGATCTGTTAAGTTTTAAACCTGATAGTGTTCCAAAGATTTCAATAATATTAAGAGTGTGACATACTTCATTTTTTGATTTTAGAAAAAGTGTTGTGTCGTCAGCTAATTGTGAGATCTTTAAACTATGTGTTTTATTATCTAGCTTAATTTGAAAACCTTTGATGTTGGTGTCTTGTCTTATTCTGCAGGACAAAATTTCTACGGCAATAACAAAAATCAGGGAACTTAACGGGCAGCCTTGCCTAATACCGCGCTTAATGTTGTATGACGATGAGACCCACCCATTGTTTAACATACAACCTTTTATATCTTTATACAGAGTTTTAACCCATTTTATAAAAAGATCTGGAAGTCCAAATTTCTTTAGTGCTTCATACATAAATGGCCATTCCAATGAGTCAAAAGCTTTGGAAAAATCTATGAAGAGCATTGCTCCTTCAATATTATAGTATTCTGCATGGTCTATTATGTCTTGAATCTGACGAATGTTGAAACCTATATACCTATTTTTTATGTAACCATTTTGGTCACTATGGATAATTTTAGTTAGTATTGGCTTAAGACGTAATGCTAAAGAATATGCCATAAGTTTTGTGTCAACATTGAGTAAAGTAATTGTTCTATAGTTGTCCAAAAGAAGAGGGTTTCCTTTTTTATATAATAAAGAAACTACCCCTATTTTGTGTAGTGTGCTCATTTCTTCTTTTTGATAGCATATGTTAAATACTTTTACAACAATTTCTTTTAAATTTGTCCAGAAGGTTCGATAAAATTCTACACTGAGCCCGTCAATACCTGGTGATTTATTTAATTTCATGGATTTAATAGCTTCTGTACATTCATTTATAGTAAGCTCCCCTTCTAGATTTTGAGTTTCCTCCTGAGAAAGAGTTTTATCTACTTTTGTTTCTTTTATATATTTTTTTATTTCATTTTCATTAGGATCTGTACTTTTATATAAGTTTTCATAAAAGTTTTTTTCTAACTTTAGAATTTCAGATGAATCTGTTATAGTTTCTCCTTTTTCATTCGAAAGGGCAGAAATATTTTTACGAGTTTGTCTGGATTTTTCAAGGCCTATAAAAAATTTTGTGTGTTTTTCTCCTTCTTCTGTCCATTTTACACGCGATCTAACCTGAGCTCCCTTTGCTTCATTTATGTAAAGGTTTTCTAGTTTTTTCTCAACATTGTTTATTTTATTTTGAACATTATTATCCTGGAAGTTTTCTACATTTTCATTCAATTTTTTTAATGACAGTTCTAATTTAATTATTTCATTTTTATTTTCAGCTTGTTTTTGCCTGCAGTATTTTATGGTTATGTCCCTTACTTCAGCTTTAAAAACATCCCACTTAACTTGAGGATCTAAAGCCTTTGTAAGTATTTTTTGTTTGTAAGTTTGAATCAAATTATTAATGAGATTTTGATATTGTATGTCGTTCAGTATACTATTATTAATTTTAAAGAAACCTCTGCCTCTGCTTTGTGCTTTGTGTCGTAACTTTAACGAAATTGCTTGATGATCAGTGTAAGAAATAGCAGCTGGTCTAATATCTGCTGCTGTAATATGTGGTCTTATGTCGGAGCTGATAAGAAAATAATCTATCCTGCTTGCTATGTTAAAGTTATTTTTCCTTCTCCAGGTAAACTGTGTTTTGTTTGGGTTAACTTCTCTCCATATATCAATTAACTTATGTTTCTTTATTAACTGCTTTAAACTATTTACAGGTTTATTAAATTTTTGTGTACTCGTACTTTTTCTGTCCTTTTCAGTCAGACTTTCGTTTATATCCCCTCCAAGTATTAAAATACCTAATCTGTTATTCTCAATTAAGTTGCTTATTTTTTTAAAGAAAGAATTTCTATTTCTTTGTATATTTGGTGCATATACATTTACTAAAGTGAAGATGTTATTATCAAGTTCAACATTAATTAAAATAAACCTACCCTCTTCATCTTTAGTTTCATTTATTATTTTGTGATTTATATTATCTTTAATTAAAATTGAAACACCTCTAGATTGGGAATTGCCAAAGCTGTGGTATATCTTACTTTTAGTTTCACTGTTTATTGTATTTATGTTTTTATCAATGAAATGGGACTCTTGAATAAACAAGATGTCACATTTTTGATTTTCACACCAGATATGTAGTCTAACTCTTTTTTCTTTTTGTCCTAACCCTTGTCAGTTCAAGGAGCAAATATTTAAATTATTACTCATCTAAATTTGAAACCGGTTGTTTGTTTTGTAACAGAAAATTATGCAAATCAAGAGTCTTGTGTTTAAAAAAAAATAAGTGTTTGATTCAATGACTGTAGTTTGCTTCATGTCCAGTGATAAATTTTGAGTACATATTATTGACGATATAATTATAGTTGACGCAAACCTAGATAAACAAATTCGCGGGTTTTTGCAAAATAGATGCATAAAGATGAACGACTGAGTGCAATGTACTGACTATACAAAGAAAAAAAGCATTGCAACATGTTATCATATACCGATCGATGAGTCTCTGAAAGTGTTTTCTCCAGGATTAAAAGGTAAAAAGGGAGAACATATACAATTTGGGTAAGTAAAAATACTATTAGTCGAAGACAAACTCATGACCAAAAAGAAAACAACCAAAAGTCGAAAAGGCACTATGCCGAAAAGTAAGAATTGAGCAACACGATTCACCAAAAATCCAGGTTGAAAATAGGTAATCCGACAGAAAAAAATCAGTTTCCATTCCACTAATATTGAGTTAATGGTACTTACATTGACACTGTTTTCGATAGTTGAACATTTAAATGCAGAGTTGAACTTTAAAAATAAAATCACAGAATTGAAAAATAAACCTCAACAAAAAATGATACGTATTGACATGTAATAACTGTGAGGAATTCATGATATCAATATGTTCGTGTTTCCATGTTGGAAGCATCGCTAGAATTCTTCTTATATTATTGGGCAGTAGGGGTCGACTAATTGTAACAACACTAAGAAAGAAGGTTTCTATTCGATAAGCAGTCATAAGACACATCTTAAATGAAGTTAATAAAATTAGAAAAAATTAATTTTAACCATTGCGTTTCATTTGTTTTTCAATTTATTCATAGAAAGGTACAAAGAAAATTACACTTGGTATACTTATTTATTGTATTTCTTTAAGATTACGTATACGTGATAAAAGGGCATTTCAATATTGCTTTCCTTAACGATAATCTGATTTAACATTACATATCCTGAGCTCAATCAATGTTAGATGTTTTCCACCGAAATCTATTAATATACGTTAAATCATATTTAGCGGAAATATTTAGTTACACGATTAGTTACATACATAGTATATATATATGTATATCGGAAACTCATTCTTAATCGATAACATTTATATGATTAAGTTTCATGATTTATGTCAAACATCCTGTAAGGTTATCTTATGAAATGTTTACACTTTCTTTCAAACACTTGTATATAAATGCCTATTAATGGAAAATCCATGTCACATTTCGATGAATACGTATTCAAAAGATTCCTTAATTTAATTATATCTTCGTCAACAACCATCTTTGCTATTATTATAATACTCAATGAGGTTAATGAACTTTGGAGTTTTAAATTTTACAGACAGTGATATAAAACAGTAAAGAAGTGATGTATGTGTTATTTTACTTTTTTTTGAATTGTTAGATACTGTAGGCCTAGCGCATCACTGAAAATAAATTAAATATCGAAACATGCATATTTTGCAGTAAAATTAGTACCGTTAAAGATGTAACTACTACGTATATTACAAAATACTGGTCTTTAAAAACTACATGTAACATTTAAATATGTGTTCATGGAAACTTTGCCTGTGTTTGCGTAGAACAGAGGTACGATCAAATAATTAAGCCTTACAGAAAAAAATTCTCCTGATTTAAGTATAACTAATTTCTGCTATAACTTTTAACTAATTATTAATGATAAAAAGCACGTTTCTACATTACATCTGAAGAATAAATCAGAAGCTATTTCCAGAGGTGAATCAATTTGGTAGCTCATGAAATGAATAATGAACTTAATTGAAGGATTTTGTCATGGCAGGGTTGGGGATGTTTGTCACATGTTCGGACTCTTTGGTTTTTTCCTACGATACAGGGTAAAATATTTTGCCCCATATCACCCACTTTTCTTCTTTTCATATAAGACTTCAGTAGCTCATAAAAGGTTATTTATCAAAATTTAAGCAAATTCTAGATTTCTTTTCTTAAGATTTGAGACCCAAATAATGCCAATGCTAAATATAAAGTAAAAGTCCGAATCAGCCTTTTCTCTCCATTAAAAAAAAGATCTCGAGAAAGGATTTCCATAACCTATCAATTTTTTATCTCAGCTATTGCTCTTCTTATTTATAGTATCAATTTTAAATTCTAGATTTTTAAATTTACTCTGACTGCACCATTAACAAGCTCTGGATAATTGTTATATCGTTTATCTGACATAAGGAAATGCCTGTACTAAGTCAGGAATATGACAGTTACTATCCATTCATTTGATGTCTTTGTGCTTTTGATTTTGCCATTTGATTTGGAAGTTTCCGTATTGAATTTTCCTCGGAGTTCAGTATTTATGTGATTGAACTTTTTATCGATATTTAAAATTCTAAACAAGAAATAATTATGAACGAGACTACAAAGAAACAACTATCCTCTTCATTTTTTCAACAATTGCTTGCAGCGGTAGATCCATTCTCTCTATTGTCATAATTAGTTGAAACTGTCCAACCCCCCAACCCCCCCGGACCACCCCCCCCCCCCCTCTAAAAAAAAAACTAAAATAAAGAAAAAAAAAAGATGATACTGCTTTTCCTTTTACATCATGTACGGTTTCAAAAGGTTTGATAAAACCCCAAACATATGTTCTGGTTATGGTCTCGTGACCGAATTCCCGTGTTCTTTAATTTAACAGGATGTACAATTTTAAGCCAAAAATACATTCCATCAGTATGACTAATGTTTCTGAAAGGACAAACTTTTTCATGTACGCTCAAAATCTTTCCGATGAACTCATCCAAATAACTGTTTTTTTAACAGACCCGCGTTTCGACTACATTTAACTCATCAGTGGAGCTCAAATCAAAATCTGTTGGTAGGCCAATTCAAATACGTTGTTGAAGTGTATTGAACACCAAAATGTGTGATAAGTTATGTCAAATACTAAGGCTATATATATGTAAATCCAGATATATAGAATGTTATTGTTCTTAAAAGCTATGAGGGATCTGATCAAGAAAGCCAAAAAGGAACCTTTTGTTAAGTGGTTGTCGTTTGTTGATGTGGTTCATAAGTGTTTCTCATTTCTCGTTTTTATATAGATTAGACCGTTGGTTTTCCTGTTTGAACTGTTTTACACTAGTGATTCTGGGGCCCTTTATGGCTTGCTGTTCGGTGTGAGCCAAGGCTCCGTGTTGAAGGCCGTACTTTGACCTATAAATGTTTACTTGTTACACATTGTGACTTAAATGGAGAGTTGTCTCATGGCACTCATCATGCCCATGCCACATCTTCTTATTTCTATTCTATCTATTTTGCTACATTTGGCTTTTGTTTTTAGCCACCGGCATTGGGTGCTGCTCAATATGTACTGTTTCTATGAATGTAATTTGTCTTTTCTACGTCGTAATTTTGGCCATGATATTGTCTGTGACTACAGCTCTTCGACTCAAGATTTTTGAACGTCGCCATGGTATTTTATCCGCTTAATGGCAGGCAAAATGTTGGGTTTCGGCCTGATTAAAGGATACCAAAAATCTTGTTCTTTTCTAAAGGATCATAAAATGTGTTCAAGGTTTGATAGACAATAATGTTACCTTATAGAAAGGAGTTTTCTTTTGAATTAACCAAACCGATGGACATCGTAGTGGCGTTATGACTCTTCATTTGATATCAGTTTCAGGTGACACAGAAAATGGAAAATCACCTATATATTGCTTAACAAAATTATTTTGCTTTAATCTTTCGAAGGACAAAATGTCATTACACTAGTAACAATAAACTTACATTTGTACAGAAAGTACACAGAAACGTATAAAAATTAATTCAAATATTAGTGTAATGTATAAAATACATGTATTTACGTCGATGAACGGTAACGATCTTACATCGTAGATGAAACAGATTCTGATTTTTTTAAAAGTTATTGTTTCATTTAAAAATATCACAGAAACAACTTTTATAGAAAAGCATACAGTCACGCAGTAATCTGATATCATATGTGACTTGTTTAAAAGAAAATACACGGAATTCCCCAAAACTTAAAAATATATCTTCAGTGATATGTATAATGAGTGGTAAGTAAGGGAAATCCTTTAAAACATATGATCACTTATGTTATCTATTTTTAATCAGAAATATGTATATATAAACAAAACGTAACTTTCATAATTCACTATATTAATATAAATCAAAGCAAAGCAAAAGGACAATGAATCTGATCAAATGTGTTATAACTTTGTGTCTTATAATAATAAGCGAGATACATGGTAAGTGTCCATATTTTTACTTTCATTGGATACATACAGAATCAGCTAAATATAAAGAAGGTGTTTTCAATTATGCCGCTCACACTGCTAAAATCGGTACGTTACTTGTCACTTGTTATTGATAAATTAACCTTTCTAGATTACACAAATTTGGTAAAGACAATACATTAAAGAAACAGCATGGACTCCTGACTAATCACGCACTGGGCAGAGTCAACATATATTTCTGGTTGATATATCTACTGGGCTATCTGAATTATGTCTTGTCCATTGTTTTTCATTAGTCTGCAAATACGAGAATATATCTGAGTGAAATCTTTTTAAAACTTAATAGAAGTTTTTACAAAGCTAAGATCAAATGGATATATATTAAAAGAAAATATATTTTGATTGATAAAATATCTTATTATTTCAAAACTTTTCGAAAGTACAATGTAACTGTAATAAACTGCATTGACAAAACATGCTTTTAAGTTGATCTTCTAATATTTTTTTTTGTTGTTGATATAAATGTAACTATATAAAATAACTTTCAATTTTACACAGATGTATGTCTATTCATGCATGTATTACCACAATTGAACTAATTATGTTTTTTTAGAATGTTTAATTATTTAACATTAGCATGAATAGGTGTTACTTTTTTATCGGATTTATTTCATAAAATATATTTTTACATTTTTATGACAGAATAAAAATTTATACTTACGCTTTTTCAAGACTTTGATGATTCATTTGTTTACACTTATTACGTATACATAATGTCTAAGAAATGAGTAAGACATGATAGAAATGAATTTATTTCCCATAAACTTGTAGAATTTGTAAAGATCATGTCTCGCAGTCAAATTTTTACAAATTTTCTTATAAGTCGATTGCCTGGTTAATGTTCTATTGCGACAAAAATAAAAATGAAAAAAACACGTTATAAATTTCATGCGTCCGAAGCGCTTTTCTTGATTTACCATCATCAGGAACGCTCAAAGCCAAATATTTGAAATCCAAGGATGTATAAAAACCGCGCTATATAACAAAACGGACCTAAAAAAAAATACCCAAATCCACTAAAGTCAACTTTGCCTGAGGGAGTTGAAACCATAGTTTTTTTATAATTCTAAAATTTATAAAAAGACAATTTTAGAAAGGTATTTTATAAATCATGTCAATACCGAAGTACTGACTACTGAGCTGATGATACCCTCGGGGACTGATAGTCCAACAGCAGCGGTGTCGACCCAGTGCTGTAAAAAAATGAAAACAAAACGTTATAATTTTCATGCATCCGAAGCACTTTTCTGGATTTACCTTCGGTAAATCAGCAAGTCATATATAATTCTTCTTTTCGAAGGATAAATTATTAAGTTTTACTGAAACCATAAGTTTACAAATTGAACATGAAAAAAGTCATCTGATAAAAGGAAAATCCTGTAAAGAATACTTTGATGTGTGATCGATTGCCATTGTTTAAATGTAGTACAGTGAACCTTAGATATATAAACTAATGTGATCAACCACAACATCAACATTTACTCATTTATGTAAAAGGAATTAAGGATTTCATTTATTGTACAGTTTGATGTTAATACGCGACCTGGATGATGGGATATAAGTTTATCGTTCTAAATAACATAATGGCCTACATGATCCGTAAAACTATGTTTCTTAGAAAAATGTAAAATAGCAAAAATACCGAACTCCGAGGAAAATTCTAAACGGAAAGTCCCTAAGCATGCTTTATTGAAAATAGTTTCTCTCAAGTAAGAAGACCTATATTAAATGACAGTTTAAATATTACAGTATAAGGATGCGGAGAAGTAAATGTCATGCATTTTCATCTGTTGTTTCAATATATTCTCGTGCCTAAAATCCTCGAATATTTAACCAAGAAAATTATAAAACAAGTTTATTACAACAATTGAAGGACCTTATCTTGACAGATAAGTGTCCTTTCCTGTTTAGTTCGTTTGGTTTACAAATTAATCGAAGCAATTTAATATTCATCGGAAATTAAATAGAAATTGCATATACTAATGACAATGTAATAAACGTATCTAATAAAGAGCACTTTCCTTTATTTATTTTATTTTTCAGATGCTTATTCTATTACTGTGCGAATAAATCAAAATATATCCGGATCAATAGATGAAAGTGGTACACAAATAAAATGCTCATTCACAAGGCATAATGTAACCAAAATATTTGCCATCGAGTTGAAAGCTGATAATGACACAGTTGTAACATTCTTACCAGATGATAAACCAAGATTTACATCAAAAGGAAGGTATTTGGAAGGAAGAGTAACACTGATGAATATCAGTAAAGTTTCTACAGAAGCTGTTTTGACATTTGATAATCTTACCTGCATTGATCAAATTAATTACAGTTGTTCCATTGTTTACCTTGACCAAAACAGTAAAACAGAAAGAAGAAATTCAGGGTTCACATCCCTTTTCGTTAAAGGTAACAATCGTATAGGCGTATAAAAGAAAGCTTTCAAAATTATAAAAGAAAGAAAAAAAAAAGAAAATTTAAAACATGAATTACCGAACAAATCATAAAAATACAATAAAGAATCTAAATATACTATTCATATATTCATCAAATTAGACGACCTGAATGAAGGCTATGCTTTCTTAACAATGAACTGGTTCCCTGTATTTCTATATATGAAAACGACAGGCAAACATTAATCATGGCTGATTTATATTACGTTTTAATAGAAAGGAATGTATGAACTAGTATTGCTTTTCTCAAACGGAAAAAAGATACGAAAACTCAATTTTCTTATAAAATGTTTTATTTGTTGAACCCGATTTAAAAAAAAAAGGCATGAAAGATTAATGACTAAGGCATTTTCAGTTGAATAAACAACGTAGATGCGTTTTTGGGTAACCTCAACTAATAACCAATTTTTACCGGTTCATTGTTTCCGTAATTTATTGTATATTTCCTTAACACGGGGATAATTTCTGCGAACTATATAAATCAGTTAATGTTAGAACAAATGTACAGTTTATATCATATGCAGAGCTAAAACAAGCTAATCATTTATAATTTTTTTTACAGTTCCACCTTCCAAACCTAATATCGTAACTATGGTTTATTCATTTGAAGACGATACAACAACACCAATAACGACAGAAAACACGACTTTCCCTCATTTTACTGCGCGACAAAATAGATTAAAAACGACTATTAACCAAATGATTTCGAACAGGCGAACAACGAATGATGAACATTCTAATGTTACCTCCATAATCTTAAAGAAAGGAGATAATATAACATTTCTATGCACTGGAAATGTTGGAAATCCACCAGGAAAATTCATCTGGCAAAAATATAGGCATAGCAAAAATCCAACAAATTACACAAATATCGTAACAACTATCCAGGAGGTATCGGATATGTGCTCCTACAATGGTTCAAGCACCTTGACAATCCAGGTAACTGCTGAGGATAACCAGGCCATCATTCGATGTAAAGTAAATTCACCATTGGCGCAAACAAATATGTATATAGAAACTATACCAATGGAAGTTCAGTGTAAGTATTTGTCTAGTTTTATGACATTACTAATTGAAGATTACAAAAGTAAAATAAGGTTACAAATTGAAAAAAAAAAACAGTTTCTGCGGAGGGATTCAATATATGACAAGCAAGTATTGTACCATTAAGGATGTACTAAGGTGAAATTAAAAAAAAAATCTAGAATTTAGATTGATACTATAAGTCGGAAGAACATTAGTTAAGAAACAAATTAAGCTAAACACATTGATATGTTATGGAACTCCTTTTTGAGATATCTGATTTTTTTTTAAATGACGGAAAAAAGCTAACTCGAACTTTTACCTTAAATTAAGCATTGGAATTATTTGGGTCTCAAATCGTAAGAAAAAAATCTAGAATCTGCTTAAATTTTGGTAATGACCTTTTTAAGAGAAGATATTGAAGTCTTCTATGAAAAGAAAAATGGGTGATATGGGGCAAAATATTTTACCCTGTATCGCAAGAAAAAACCCAAGAAGTCCGAACATCTGACAAAAAATCATAAACCTGACCTAAGTATATCCTTAAATTCTTTCTTTGATTGGTATGATTAAACCCAAAGCTTTACTGTTAAGTGTCCCCTGTTTGGTAATCGTCAGATTTTTTAGGTTTACATAAAACATACACATGTTAAACCTTTCTTCACATTTGATGTTCATAACCATTTCATCTATGAAAACCATATATTGACAGAAATGTATATAACATATAATAATAAGTTCATAAGCACTTACATAATTGCACCAACATCAGCAATTTAATTGAATAATGTCTGGTTCACCAAGAGTGAAGCATTTCGCTATAAGAAAAACATTAGCCAGCTTAGACTTAAAATAATGCATGCATTTTTGATAGAATGGCTTTCCTGCGAACTGTCATTTTGCAGGCTTGTTCTCTTCAACCCTAATTAATGTGTCGGTCAAGTACAAATCGGGGTAAACTCATACGAACTTGCTTTACGCTGCTTTCTGAAAATGCATGAATTATTTGCATAAAGTATTTGGCACGTAATGCTTAGTATTCTTCAATTTGTTTTTTTTAACTTTAACAGCTCCTGATTTGGATACGACAATAGAAACTAGACGAACAACATTAGGTACTACGATAAGCAATAATGTTACAGATTCAAACGAAAAACCAGATTTGATAAGTGGATACATAGGTAATGTTTGGTTTATCATGTTTGTGTGTTAATATTTGTCACGTTAATATAAGAAACGAATGAGAAAATTGTGAAAATTTTCAATTTAAAGTTTAAGTATTATGATATTTTAATGTCCGTGCAAAACGGCTTTTGTCTAGATCTAAGGAGGTATATATTTATTTTGTTTCTTTTCACAGGTATTGGTATTGCTCTTGGTGTTATTCTTTTATCATGTTTATTGATAATTGGAATTTGTTTATACAAACGAAAGAAAAAAACGTAAGTTCAAACTTAATTTGTTAAAAGTTCACAAAATTTGAACTGATAGTTGTCAAAAATAAAACACAATCGATTCACAAGAGAAACAACTGGGATGAGTACCATTAAATAATTTATTAACAAGTTTAAATAATTTTGTGACTCAAATCACGTAGAAGGCTCTTGAACTAAAAAGATGAAAATGGATGATAAAATGCTTATTTGCCTTAGGTTTGATTTGTTTTACGCTTTACAGTACCATTCCCCATGCTCAATTAAAAGTTCGATCACATCGTTTCATTCAACAGCTAGGCCACTTTTTACAACTATTGGAATTAAAGATACAAACTGTCTGTTTTAGGTTATGAAAGAACAAAATCGATTCAATCAACAAATAAATCGAAGATCATATTATCAAAATGCTCGAAATTTTTATCGACTATAAATATTTCGAGTTTGGTGGACTGATATTTCAACTGACTATCGGTACACTAATAGTCACTTGTTGTGGATACGACTGGCCGACTTGTTTACGAACTCATATGTAGCAGACTTATACAAAACCTTCTCAAAGACAAAAAGAAAAACATCTTGTAAAGTTCTCTAATTTTACTTTCAAGTGAATGCTTACATCCCATATATCATGCTGATCTTGGTATAATGAATACTAGAAAAACTAGATTGTCAGCCTTTTATCTTGATTTTTTTATTGATATTGATACAAATGGATGACGTCAAAATTAGAAGCTTTGACAAACGTGACGAATTTATAGCTTGACAATTGTCAACTGTCAATTTCCCAGGAGCAACCTTCTCTCTGCCCTATTTTATGATGTTTACATGTCTCAATTAAGACGCCACGATCATACATGTTTATACAATATGTACATCATTAACATGGGGTATATCTACTGCATACTCACAAACTATACTAACAAAGTTATCTGGATCTAATTAAATCTACCCAATTTTACGGTTCCATCATGAACTGCCTGACCTATAAGGTGTGTCTGTGTCTCACTTTACTAACGACATGTGTTCGCAATATAATATCTTTAATAATAGTTGTCCGAAATGTATTTTTACGGACTGTGTACTTTTGTAACAATTTTACGGAGTGTGGATTTGCATAGTTGACTTACCCTGTAAAGCCAACCGGTTTGGCGCATTTGGGGGTGCATGCTATTCCCTCAGTTTATGTTTGTAACTGTATTTGCATCTTCTTAAGTAATTATAAAGATATGAATATCAGAAAAATACTTATGCCTAAATTTAAGTAAATTAATATGAGTTTAGTTTTCTTTCAGGAAAAGGAGTCGATATCATGTCGTTAAAGAAAAATCTAATCCTAGCCAGTTAAATCAAACAGTCCAATTAAAACAAATGTCTTCGACAGACAGTTATGAAAAAATTCCGTTGAAAAATGATACTGGAAAAGAGACAGTTGACATTGATGACATTAAAAAGCAGAACATGGTATACATAGGAACACAGGAAAAAGATGATAAAAATAAATTTTCCACGTATGTATTAGAAACATGTTTTTAAAGACGAATCATGACATCGTCTATAAGTAACCACATTTGACGGAGGCAATCTCCCAATACCTAATTACACAATGAATGGCACAATCATGCTGAAGATACTTGGGCCACTAGGATATAAGGAATTTGCAATTGATAAAGGCTATATTGTAGTTGTGAAATAAAAAATGTGGGTATAGTTACTTAGACTATACGTCAATCGATACTGTATCAATGTTGCAGGTCAAACCCCTAAGATATAATCAATGATCGTATTTATAATGGCGCTGAAATTTATTGTCTATTATGTACAAATCCGATTCAAGGCTGAACTTTGGTTGTACAGCACTGTCCCTAATGTGGATGTCATATTTGGTACCTGACGTTACGGTTTTAGAAATTAACCAAACACTCTGTCAATATATGTGTTAGTATATCATTATATGCTTTCATGTCCTGTATCTAATAACAGCAATTGTCTATTCCAGCTCTAGATCAATTTTGAATAATTAACATGGATTATCAACGTTTTTTAAATCTCATCAAATTTTCAGAAGAATAAAAGCATTGCTAGTTTACTAAATGTTAAGCTCGATGAATTTGATAACAAATGTGTATATTAAAAAATACAATAAATATTGGTACATTCAAGACTCGTCACACAATAATGAGCAGATGGTGGTATTGGCCTAACTATTAAAACGATGTATCTGCCGATCTAACTACCTGCTCTTTATGAACAAAACGTAATCAGGGTTCAGCATTAGAATACGATAACCATCGCTATCGGAACTGTGGATAAGTCCGTTGATTATTTTAGTATGATGTTCAGGTAATAGTTGAATGTATAAGTATGTTTGCTTGATTGTACCTTGAATAACAGTAAAAATAACAAATTTCTACGTCTATTTAGGTTTCGCAGAAATTCTCCTTCACAACATGCAGTATATGCCCAAGTGAATGAAGCAGGAAAAACACAATATTTAAACAATACGCAGACCCAAACAATTTCTATTCAAAAGGGAGAGCAATCTCAAGATTCACCAAAAGGCATTAACGACCAGTCTGCAGAGAGAATAAGCAAACAGAATCACAGTGATATAGCTCAGAATGTCAACAAAGAAACAATCGATTCGTAGATAATTTTATATTTTGACATCTCAATCTTTTATGAGAACAGATGATCGATGCAGAGGGTCTGTGAGATAATGGTCCACAATATTGCTTTAAAAGCCAGATGAACTACTTTAATTCGGCGCCGATATCATCAAGTTGTCTCGACAGACTTTGAACACACCCTACATATTGAAATGTAACTATATTGTGAAAATGTGTATATAGGTGTTGTCATAATTTTGTAAAGTGTAAAGTTCTTATTGTTTTCTTAAAATTACCACTGGTTCATTTATCAGAGTAAGTTGAGTTTCATCTTTATTCGTTTAAAAAATAGTATGATGTTGTAATTTGCTTTGGTATGAATTTGGTTAGATCTTTCAGTGACACCTTCCTACTACTAAATTAAATATCAAATGGACAATCGATAAGATGTGTCTGTGTCTAAACTTACAAGCGATTTACTTATGGTTTTAGACGGTAAAATACCAGAATAGCCATGTGATCTGATAATTTACCGATTTTGCCTGATTTCTGATTGTAACAATTTGTCTGTATGTACATTGGCTTTCCATGTCGACTCACCTCGTATTGCTCCTTTTTCGGGGTTATGCGATTCTCTTAGGTTTTTTTTAATTTGTATCAATAAATAAATTGTATCACTTTATGGATTTAGGAGATTTGAACATACATTTGTAAACTACTGCTGCTTCAACATGTTTAAAAGGAATTGTAATTTTGTGTGAAAAAATGTATCACATTTATTGAAATCAGCGTGTTGATCAGGCATACAGCTGACAATGTTATTTCGGAAATCATCATTTAAAATTTAAACGGACGAAAATCAACTGTATATAAAAATTACGATGTTCAGATGATTTGGGACATTTTTGTTATTTCTATAACTTTTTACAATAATGATTATCGTCGAAGTGTTTCTTCTTAAGACACTTTGTGAATACTTTGTCTCAATCCATATCATTTCCGGAAAATATCAAATTTTATACATAATCATGTGAAGATTTTAAGGCACGTTACGCATGTAAGAAATGATAATTACAAGTGGGAAATATGACTTTAGTCATAGTGCGCCGATAAGAAGTGTCCTAGTATTAAATAGCATAGTCGCATGCTTTGACAAACAATAATCTCTATGTAGATGATAAAGTCAACTATTTACATGTACAGAGTGTATTATATCTTTAACAATAGCGTTTTGGCAAATTTACATTATTTTTGTCATAATTGTAACTAGTTCATGAACACAAAGACGTGTGCAATTGAAGACATTGTTACCAATAAACCTAATAAGCAAATATGAATCAAATGAACGGAGATATGGCTAGTCGTTTTTTTTTTTAACTTTTAGTAAGATATCAAAATTTTTGCCCGCAATCTCCTTCTATCCTATTTACTAAAAGTTAAAAAAACGACTAGCCATATCTCCGTTCGTTTGATTCATATTTGCTTATTAGGTTTATTGGTAACAAATACTTATGCCTAAAAGTGGGTAATTTGACATTTATCATTTTTTAAGGGTGATTGCATGTTTAAGTCATGTTATCTGTTTGTGTTCATATATTTTTTTAAAACATACTCAGGTTTTATAGATAAAACTTACCTTTCTGTGTTTAATTGTGATTACGATGGTGGTCATATTATGTTATTAACAGAAAACATATTTTTATGCTGCTCGATTTTTCAGTACTCCAGCAAGACGCGACATAATCGGGTTTTTTTTAAGCGCTTCGGACACAATGAGTTATAAAGCTTCAGTTAGATTATCCAAATCAAACGTTTCAAGTATTTATATCACATCGTATTCTATCAATTCATTAAATGAATTCAGATAGTCAGCATATGTCATTTAAATGTGTGTTGCAACAGGAGTAATACATGCATACGTTTCATATCATACAAGTTATAACTGTTGAATTTATTAAGCAATCTAAAGTTTAGGCATCTAGCGTGGCATACATGTATGTCATCTTCACTAAAATTGATACCATACGATTATATTGATATGTTCAATTAATATTGCTATGTCAACCGTTTCACTTTGCTTAAAATAACGGTTTCCAGAATGTAACTATTTTAGTGTGTCTTGTCGGACTTATTTTGAATCAAAATGTTTATAAAAATTGACAGATTCAAACATTGCAAATAACACTTATAGGGAAATTCGATAAATGTGGAAAAGTCATTTTAGATAAGAATATTGTTTTTTATTGGACAAGATATATAAGATAAATAAAATTCGTGAAGAACTGCATTACTATATGGTATTTGTTTAATCTTCATGCCATTCCTGCCCTTTAATGTCGGATACATAAGGAAATCCGTAAAATAGAAAATTGTAAGAGTAGATATAGTTATAGCCAAATACATCTGATAGCTTATGATTATTTTTGACCATAAGAACACACGAAGAATACACAGACAAAATTCTAAACGGCCATTTCTTTGACTACTGAAATATAAGATAAGACTAGTGGAATGATGTGTAATTTTTATCTGCAATATCTTTGTTAACGATAGATTATAAACTCTAGAGACTAAAAAAATTGAGAATAAAACTTTACATTTTTTTATCTTGTTTCTCGTTCCTTTTTGCATAGTAAGGGAAATAATATATATTTAAATTATATGAAATACCCAGAAAAAAATATGTAAAACATAACAAAGTAAAAGCGCGTATTTCGTTTGATTGCAATCGCAATAAATAAAGACCTTTCAATTTCCAAATTTTATTTGGTATCAAAATTGTGTTGAACGTTTTGAAATTTTACACTGAATAAGAGAAGGTGTACACCTAAACTCAATCCCTTACATGTTAACACAAGTAATGTTTAAATTAATTGTGACGTGTTTCAACAATTATCTATAAGTGCTAGTATTTACTTTTTCCTGTCTACTTTATCATTTAAATATCCATGTTCATAGGGCTTTGTGCATCATCCATCGCAAATAGTTAATTTAAAAATACTCAATAATCATATGAAAGCTGTTTGACAATTCCCTTCAATAAAAACGTGTGATGACTCGTGATTAACTCCTTTTACAAGTTAGTTATGTAACATTACAAATGAATGAAAATGTATATGATTTCGTTTTATCAAAAGCATTGAATGTTTATCGATTTTTTTTTCATTTTTTTGGATACTATGTAATGTTCAAAGTTAGTATTATGTTTAACATGTATCAGTTGTGCGTGTTTATAGAAGAAAATTGTAGAAATATATCGAGTGTATTTAACAGTTATTCTTAAATCTTTTATCCGAAAGAAATTTCAAGGGTGAAGTAACACAACTCACTCTTTAATATTTATGACGTCTTAAATTATCAGATTTTGACAATTGTCTTTAACTAGTGAGTTCAATTTAATATAACACAGGGCTTTTTAACAATTGTAACTTATACTAGAAATAGTTATGTTCTGATGTGACAGCTAAGGTAATTTGACCTTTTCTTTTTCTTTTTCTGAGTTTCATATGAGCTCTGTTGCTTTCAACACTTACACTAGCTCTCTAAATACTAAGATGACCACTTGCAAAAAAGTTGGGTCACACTTGACATATCTTTTCGGTTGAAAACTCTTGATTAATGATTAATCTAGTAAGCCTGTCTGTGAAGCCAAGTCTATAAAATAAAACATATGATTTTGTGCATGTGCAATACATAATTATACTTCCTATTAATATACAGCAGATGATATAGATCGAACGCACAAATATGTCAGTAATCCAAAGAATGAGACATATTCTTAACTTTTAAACGGTCTGTGGATTCTTTAACTTTTTCGTCTAAAGTATAATCGAATCAAGGAGTATTTGGTATATGTCATCTACGTACTAATCTAACCTATTTTCATATAGTTTTATTTATTTTCCATTCACAAAAAAATAGGAAAAATGCATTGCATTGACATCAATGAGTGATATTATACTTAATGTAAACGAAACAAAAGCCTAGTTAATGCAATTTTGTTGCCAAAAACTAGTGCTAAAAGGTGTGAGCAATCGAGTGGTCCTACGTATGCATCTCTTTGAAAGCCCCTTACTGAAAAGGTTATAAAACGTAATGCTGTTTCTCCTGTCACTTGGTACTAACACTTTCATTCTGTATAGTGTTGGTAATTAGTCATACACATACACTGTAGTTTAGTTTCTGTTTATTCATCTATTTGCGTGTGTACCAATTTTCATGGATTGAAAAAAAAATATTGTAGTTTCGTAGATATTGGATATCGTGGTAACATGTATGTCAAAGTCTGCATACATGTCTAAAGAACGTTCGTACTTCGTTGATAATTTTAGTTCGTGGTTCATATATACCCACAAATTCCGAACAAAATTGGTATCCCATGAATAATAAAGAATTCACAGTAGTTAACATGTTATGTATTACTCTCCTAGCTTAAAAATTTATTGGAACAATCATACCAATTACAAAAAAAGAACAATACATTGTCATTCCCACTAGCAAAAATATAACCCTGCAATATGTTTATCTAAGGAATACACAGACGTTTGCTATAACCTAAACAATGCTAAAAGCCCTGTTGTAAGGAGTACCTGAGTTCTACCCCGATTGTTGATGAGGTTCGTGTTGCTCATTCTTTAATTTTCCATGTAGTGTTTTGTGGACTATTGTTTGTCGTTTCGTCGTTTTCCGTTTTTTTTTGTTGTTATAACAATGTCAGTTTCGCTGTGGCTTATTAATTTTAAATTCCCCCTTGGTATCTTCCGCCTATTTTTTAAAAACATTTTTGGGTATTTTTCTATTCACAAATTCAATTCTCAAGTTGAAATATTAGTCATAATGTACTACATACGGGTACAAATTTACGTTTGGCGTATTTTTTAGCTCTTCAACCTCTGTATTAAGCTTTTCAATTTCAATCAAATATTTTGACCGCGAGAATCACTGAAATTGTCGACTGCGCATCAGATGCAGTAACAATGCTTTTGTTAATCGTGTTGATGTTAATAACTTTTTTTCTAAAATGATAAATTTTATATTTCATAAATCTAAGGTTGTAAATACAAAAAGAAAGTTCATCCAAGGTGATTTACCGTTACTCCGTTTTATGAATACAAGCATGTTCATATACCCCATTAAGACATTATGAATTGATTGATTATTGGTTGCTCATTGTCTAGTATCAACATATAAACAGTACATGTAATTCAAATACTCTGAAAAAGGACATGTATGATTCTTTGAAAAACAAACACTTAAAATATTCATGCGTCCGAAGCGCTTATCCTCATTTACATTCATCAGGAACTCTCAAAGCCAAATGTTTGAAATCCAAGGATGTATAAAACACGAAACATTTGAAGAACTATATCATGTATATGAAGAAAAAGAACTTAAAAGAAAGGTTTGTTTTAAATCAGTCATCACAGAAGTACTGCCTACTGAGCTGATAACACTCTGTATAAAACAAAAACAATACTTTAAAAATTTCATGCGTCCGAAGCTTTTTCTGAATATATAACTTCCATGACTTATTACGTGATAATTATGTATGTAACTTTATATTTGATAAATATTTGTTGGATCTATAAATAGGCTTTACATATATGATTAATGGCGATTGATGAAAATCCACGAGACCTTGTGATCATGTATGTATTTCATATGAAAGTAAAATCACAAAAATACTGAACTCCGAGGAAAATTCAAAAAGGAAAGTCCCCAATCAAATGGCAAAATCAAAAGTTCAAACACATCAAACGAATGTATATATTTGTAATTTATAAAAATAGAAACACATTACATTTTATATTCAGCCATTGTTAAATACTGCCGATCTATAAATAATGAAAATGCATTGCTTACTGATTTTATCAAGTCTCAACACTAATCATTTGTTAGTGGTTCATGTGGTTAGTAAAGAAAATATACAAAATTGTCGGACCATCAAGTGAAAATGTCATTGTAACTTCGGGATTATCATCAGTAATTATAGCATTACGGTATCTGCTATTATTGTTTGTAATGTCAAATAATTAGAATTAAAACATTCAGATTTTTTCTTTTGATTTTTTTTTCAATTACACAATTTATTTTCCTATTGATATCTTTAAAAGTAAAGTTTATGTATTGGTCAATTCTTATTACATTCTTATTACATTCATTTTAATGAATTAATGTCAGTCGATTTGACAGTAACCCATCAACACAATTTACCTTTAAGACATTAAGGCGTATTTTTGTAGTATAATCAAATTTATTCATTGTCGTTTGACTTAAATAGAAAACAAATCAATGGCCATTATCAGTGTAATAATATATTTCCGTATTTGTTGGTCCTAAACAATTATACAAAAATTCAAAAAATATAATTATATCTATCTAATTTAAGCGACGAATAATGAAAATCCTGGCAACCTTTAGAACACTTTTTCATTTTTAAACATTGTTTCAATTATATATTAGATAATGTTAAAAAAACCAACTATTAATATTTCATCTGTACGCTATCATTGTTCACGTCGGCTTAATAAAATCAAAGATAATGGTTCTCACACAACATGTTATGACTCTATATCAGATTATAGTTGTCAGGGTGTATGGTAAATGACTACATATTTGTTATTGGTATACAGGTATCAAAATCTACAAAGATACACAGAACATAAAAAAAAAACAATTGCAAATTATGGGACATGTTGTATAAATCTTATATAATACAGTTTACTTTCTACTTTTGTAGTTGTATACCCCATTGCGGTTCAGATAAAAACAAATGAATTTGAAGTAGTAGAAAAAAATGTTCATACACAATTAAAATGTTCATACACGAAGGGAAACGCAATTAAGATTTTCGCAGTTGAAATAACAACTGATGACGAGACGATTGCAACATTCGTACCATATGATATACCAAGACTAACAACAAAATGACATCATTTTGCTGAAAGAGTGACATTGATGAATATAACTGAAGATTCGTCAGAAGATGTTATGATATTTGACAATCTTAGTTGTATTGATGAAAAGAACTACAGCTGTTAGGTTATTTACCTGGACATGAATAGTAAAACAGAAATAAATAATTCAGGACTTCTAAGCTTTGTTATTAAAGGTAAATTTTTAAATAAGTGCGAGAGGAAAGTAAACTGTTAAATTGGTAAACGTATGGTAATTAAATCAATGCTTAATGAAAGTAAGAACAATAAAATAAAAACAAAAAAATAAAATAAAATATCGTTTGATTCTTAGCAAACAAATATGATACCTAAATACCTAACATTTTATTGCTCGATGAGCGACCCCCACCTCCTTTATAAAAATCCTATCTTATATGAATGATTTTGTTATGAACTTATACAGATACCGGGATTACAATTTTGTTCCCCAGACGCACGTTGTGCCAGGCAATGGGTAAAACGCGAGAAAGAAGATGTAGATACTCTTTCCGAATGGATTAAGGCTGTGAGGTCGTTGATACAAATCAGAATTCAGAAACTGAATGGGTCTATTGATACCTATGCTACATCAATCTTTAAAGAACCAAATGTTGCAAAACACTTGTCTTACCCCAATGAGAAATATGTTGTTGTCCCCGCAACATCGTTTTTGTGTGTAAATCACATTACATAAACTGCTTGATAAATGAATTAGGTATTGACATTTCACTTGGGAACTAGATACTACCACGACACTTACTGTAGAGGAAATCCTGGATACTCATAGGTCTGATCTATGTTCCTTTGGCGTTTCAATCAAAGATGAAGAACTGGATCTTCCATCACTGTATTGGATACCTAAACTACATAAGTGTCCTTCCAAACAACGGTATATTGCTGAATCTTCCAAGTGCTCTACGAAACCTCTTTCTAAATTATTAACATCAATTTTATCATCAATCAAAGCCGGGCTTCAAAGTTACTGTGTAACTACATATTCTAAAGGGGGCGTGAATCAGCTATGGATACTAAAGCTTCCAAAGATCTTTTAGAGTACATACAATCTAAGTCTCTTTCATCTTGCAATAGTATCAAACATTTGACTTTTATACACTTTACACAAGTATTCCCCATTCAAACTAAAAGACAAATTGAGAGAGTTGGTCCAGCTTTGTTTCATAAAAAAAATGGCAAACGTAGAAACAAATATACAACATATTTGTTACGTTTGGAAGACGTGTTTTTCATAAAAAAATCTGCATTCCCATGGGAACCAACTGTGCCCCTCTTCTTGCCGTCTTGTTCTTCCACATGAGGCTGACTTCATACAAAAAC